GCCACAGGGGAGAGGTTTTTCCCTCTGCTTTAGAGTTGGAGAAACTGAGGCCCAGAGAGTTCATCTCTACTTGTACTTCAGATCTGGAGCATCACCTCCTCCAGGCAGCCTGGACCTCCCTACCCACCCAGTAGCATTGCTGTTTGTTTAACAGGCCCAAGTTCTTTTGCTGCAGAAAGCTGGTCTCACTTTGTAAATATTACCTATTTGTGTGATTTGCTTAATGTCTTCACCTTTTGCTGGACTGTGACTTCCATGAGGACGGGGACTCTGATTGCCACATGGTGCTGATCACATAGGAGGCACTGATAAATGTTGAGTGAATGAGCCACGGTGACGGTCCATGTGATAAATGCTGGGAAGGCAGGTGCTAGTGGGATGAAGAAGAGGTACACTTCTTCCCGACTGGGGTATGGGTAGTCCAGGAAGGCTCCCTGGAAGAGGTGATGCCCGGGCTGAAGCCTGAGTTGCAGTTAGCCGGCTGGAACACATGGAGGGGCACCTGGCAGAAGGCACACATGAGCAAAAGCAGGGAGGTGAGCCCATGACACTGCCTTTGGGGACCTATGTTCAAGGATTAGTGGTTTGAACCAGGGCTGGAGATGCTGGCTTGCTATTTTTAAATATATTTATTGATTTTAGAGAGAGAAGAAGAAAAGGGAGGGGACATCAATGTGTTCCACTTATTTATGCATTCATTGGTTGATTCTTTTTCTTTCTTTTTTTAATCCTCACCCGAGGACACTTTTTGATATTTTGTTCAGATAGAGTGAGAGGGAGAGAGAGAAACATTGACGTGAAAGGGACACATCGAGTCGCTGCCACCCACACGACCCAACCAGGGCCGGGGACAAACCGCAACCGAGGCACGTGTCCTTAGCGGGAACCGAACCCGGGTCTCTCCAGACCGCAGGCCAACGCTCCAACCGCTGAGCCAAACCATCCAGGGCATTGGTTGATTCTTATATGTGCCCTGACCAGAGATTGAACCCACAGCCTTGGTGCATAGGGACAATGCTCTAACCAACTGAGCTCCCGGCCAGGCTAAGCATATACATTTTGTTCTCAGCAGCTGGGTACCTGCAGAGGGGCACAGCTGTCCTAAGCTCACCCCTTTCCCCCCATGGTTGTCAAGGGGCCTTTGAGTCATCCCCACTTCCCCCACATGCTCAGGAGTTATTTCTAAGGCCCCCCCAAGGCCCTCCAGGCACCCTAATTTACCTTTTCTCCCCCCTGCCAGTTTCTTACCAACGTAAGAGTCAGGTTGCCTGGGGGCCCCATCTCACAGGCCAGCGTTGGTTCAGCATGACTCACCCACCCACACTGCCTGGCACCCTCCGCCTGAGTCAGGACTGAGCAGCAGGCCTCTGAGGGGCAGGGGGCAGCCTGGTGATGTTTATTCAGGTCTTCTCTGCGCCACAGGCATTGCTCTGGGTGCTTTAAGCCAGGGGGCTCTGCGGACCAAACCCAGCCTGTTCGTGCGCTGCCCGAGCCAAGGATGGTGCTCACGTTCTCAGGGTTGTGCAAACAAGACTCTGCGACACAGACTGTCGTGGCCTGAAAGTAGGTTTGGCTGATTTAGCAAAGAGCATTCAGAATGCCCAGTTAGATTTGAATTTCAGAAAAAGAACAGGTTATCTTTGCATGTCTGTTCCGTGCAACATTTGGTTCATACGTAACAACAACAACAACAACAAAAACCCTTATTTATCTGAAATTTAGATTTCACTGGGCACCCTGTATTTTATCTGGCAGCCCTAGCTCAAAGCCTGAAATAGTTGCTGTCTGCCTCTCTACAGAAAAGTTTGCCGACCGCAGCCTCACACACAAAGCAAACAAGAGCAGGTGTCCAAAGGGCCTAGGACCCTGCCTGCAACCCAGCTCAGTAAGCAGTGTTACTAATATAATCAGAGCGATCACCAAGCAGATACTGAGCACCTTCCGTGAGCCAGGCACTGCCCTGGGGGCTCGGGACCTACGTCGGGGAGACAGACCCTAGATGGATAAACCCACAGATGGGCAGTGACAGGCCGTGGGAAGTTCTAAGACAGCATAAAGCAAGGCGCTCTGTTTCAGACAAGGTGTCTGCGCCCTTGCCCCTTTTTGAGCTCTGCATCTGTTTTGTTGTTTTCTACGTCCTTAAAGCCAGAATTTATTTCTATTTATTTCTATTTAAAAATGCTCAAGAAACCTTAAGAAGTCCCAGAGGCATCCAGGTTTAATATAAGGTCATACTGAGGTGGTGTCTGTCGGTCTCCCCGTTACTAAGGCATCAAGTTGATTCTTATTAATGAAACACCTTTATAATTCCTCGGGTTGTTTATGGTGGTTTCCTCTGACTCCTGGTGTCCTTCGCAAATGACCTCAGCTTATGAGTCATAAAAAACGTAACACCGGGAATAACCACAAAACACCTGCGGAGCCTGTTCGAATGTGCGTTCTGCATTGTTCAGAACCGGGTCCCCTGGTTATCAATGCGCGGAGTGAAGGCTGCGTGCGCGTCCTCTGCAGAGTGGTATCGGAGGCAGCTCTGTCAGGACGGAGACCAGCAGCCGTCCTTGAAGCTGAGCCCCGAGAGCTCTGCACGTGTGTTCATAGACCTCTCACGTACTCCGAGGGGTGGCGCGGTGGTGCCCCAGTTCACAGATGGGGAGACTGAGGCCTGCAGCCACCCAGCTAATGGCAGAGCTGGAGTTGGACCTGGTCTGGTGGCCAAGCTCATGTTCTTACGCAGCGACCTCGTGCCTCCCTGATGTGGTGCCAGCTGTGCTGGAGGCCCCCTGCCTGCGGTTTCCATATCCCTCTGATAGCGCTGAGCTCTGGGCCGTGTCGTTTCCTTTCCGGTTTGAGAGCGTGAACACAGCACCGTGTGGGGAGGCAGGGAGGACTGGCAAGTTGGTTTGCAACCTGGCAGGGCTCACGGTGGGCAATGTGAGGGTACCCGGATGTGGGCAGGTGGCAGGTGTGAGGAGGGAGTAGACAGCGCAGGCCTGGGAGCCCCGGGAGCCCCGGGAGCCCCCCTTCCTGCTCTGCAGGTTGGCCAGAAGTTCCCTGCCTGACTCCGTCCTGAGATTAATCCTCCTTTTATGCTGTTTAAATATTTGCAGGTAGAGGGAAGGATGGCAGGAGGGCGGGGCTGATTCCGAAGGTTGCGGGGTGGGGCCAGAGACGGGCTGGGCAGGTGCTCAGAGGTCTGACTTGGAGGGGCGGGGCCAGTGAGGCCCTGATTGGGAGAGTCCACTGCAGGCCAAGCAGTGAATCGGACAGTCACTGTAGGCTCAGGAGCGGATACCGATTGTGGAATTCCTGCTGGGGGCCAGGTGTAGGTGACTCTGTGATCTCATTCAAGCCTCGCATTACCCTGTGAGGTGGGGTGCTGCTATCATCCGCGCCGTTTGACAGATGGGAAACCCGTCCAGGATCATGCAGATCGTGATTGGCCAAGGATTTGACCCCAGATCAGTGACTCCACATTCCAGGCTGTTAGGCCCTCCCGGCTGCCTCCTGACACCCTGTCCTGAGAGCTAATCTAGTTCCCAAAAGGAGCGAGAGCCCCATCCTCGCAGGAATGCAAGCAGCTGTCGGAGGACCCCTGGGAGTGGATGCCAGAGAGGGACAAATGCTTCCTGACCATTGTGACCTTTGCGATGCCCCACCCCTGACAGTCTCCCACAGAAAGTGATGACAGAGCGTCAGATCCAGGTGACCCAGGTCTCCTGACTCCCAGTTCAGTGCTTCTTACGGTCCCCAGATTGGGAGAGGCTGAGGGATCCCTGCTCGCAGGCTTCTCGTCACCTGGGACTTCGGAGGGCCTGATGCAGGACTCGGTGGGGCCCTCGGACAGATCGGGGTTCAGATCCCACATGCACCCCTTCCTGGCTTTGTCCTGCCAGCAAACTATCAACTCTCTGATCCTCAGTCTCCACCTCTGAGAAATATGTATAAAAGTAGAGCTGTCCTGCCCTGGCCGGTTTGGCTCAGCGGTTAGAGCGCCGGCCTGCGGTCCGGAGAGACCCGGGTTCGGTTCCCGCTAAGGGCATGTACCTCGGTTGCAGTTTGTCCCCAGCCCTGGTTGGTCGTGTGGTGGCAGCCACTTGATGTGTCCCTTTCACATCGATGTTTCTCTCTCTCTGTCTCTTCCTCTCTCTCCCTCCCACTCTATCTGTACAAAAAAAAAAAAAAAAAAAGTAGAGCTGTCCTCACAGGGCTGTGGAGAGGGTATAACGAGTTCATGTACAGGTAACCCTGGGAATGTCTGTTAAGTGACCGAGTATGGGGAGGAGAGCACGTAGCCTGGGCGTCAGACCCCGACTGGAATTCTGTCTCCACTCAGCCGGCCCCGCTTCTCTGGGGGAGTTACTTCACTTTCCTGAGCCTGTTTCCCAAAATAAGATCCCAGCTCCAGCTCGTAAGTGCCAGGCAGGGCTTTGAACCCAGGTCTGCCAGGTTCCAGGGCTGAATTTTCACATGACGCCCTCCTGATTCTTCGATGTACCTGTTTCACTCACTCGTTCCTGCACTCATTTAGAGAATGTTCACTGAGCGCTTACTGTGCACCAGCACCGTTCTGGCTGTGCGCTGGGCTCCGGGGACACAGCAGTGAACCCGGCAGGTGAGGCCCTGCCCTCGGGCGTGTATATGCTAGAAGAGGGAGACAGACAGTAAACAAACACAGGAGGGGAGTGGTGTGCGCCTCTGGAACAGGGTAACTAGAATGGGATGGGGGGGCTGCCTTAGATAAAGTCAGGGAAGGGGATGACATTCTGTGTGACAGCTGAGAGGAAGCCTGTCATGCACAGAGCCTGTAAGAAAGATGAGTAACCTATGAAGTGTGGCGCTACCCCAGGACATGGGCCTTGGACCTACGGGAGACGTGGTGAGTAGGGTGTAGAATGGAAGCAGTTATCAAGGTGTCTCAGACAGCCTGAGAAGGCCCCAGGGGGGTGTCTGCACCCCAGGTCGCATTTGGGGTCTCCCCTCCAGCTGTCTCTGCCTTCCAGGTGAAGCAGATCATGGAGGAGGCCGTCACACGGAAGTTTGTCCACGAAGACAGCAGCCACATCATCTCCTTCTGTGGTGAGTCCGTGGCTACTTCTCTGTGGGCTGCCTCGGGGACATGCGTGTCTGAGCAAGGATGCTCACACCATTTTTTGCTTTGTAACGCTGCAGTTATTTTCGGATTCCAAAGGGACTTCCTGAGGGAATTGGGAAATACAGAAAAGTCTAGAGAAGAAATTAAGCATGCCCTCTGTACCTATGAAGAGGTAATCACGGTTAATACTGGAGGCCTGGCTTCCCTCCTGTGGGCTCAGTTCACACTGACCCTGCCCCAGGTGACAGTGGTCTTGCATCTGAGGGGTGGGCTCCATGTCCTGTCCTCACTCTGCCTGTGGCTGCTGCCAAGTAAAGGGAGAGGATGGATGGGGACCAGGGAATCAAGAGCCGTCGACATCGTCAAGGATCACCTCTAGCTGGCTCGGCACAGGGACAGGACCAGGGCTCAGAGCGTGACTCAGACTTCTCTCCTTGCACCAGCTACGCTCACAAGGTTCCAGAAATAACCACACTGCCAGGTTCTTACTGTACTTTCCTGATGGCTAGAGAGACACGTATTTTGCATGTCCCTGAAGTCAGGACTTGGCTCATAATTGATGTGTATGTACAAGTGGGTGTATTTCGTTTCTTCTCCCCCTAAAGCTCTTCATTTCACAATTGGAGAGTCTCATAGTGAAGAACATGCTATAATTTCCCTCTCGTGATCCTGGCCCCATGGAGAAGCCCCTCAGCTTCTGTTTAGACATCTGGGGATACCACCCATGGGCCTGCTGCATGCACACATGACCTGGGAGCCCAGGGATGCCGGTTTCACCCCTTTGCAGCCAGGCGGACCTGGGTTCCTATCCCACCTCTGCCACTTTTTTTGTTGGGTGGACTTGGCAAGATCTTACTAAAAGTGAGATATGTTTGTTTAAACACATATGTGTATATACAGGTGTATATATCCACACACACACACACAACTATGACTTTATATAAATGTACATATGGGGTATATGTATGCGCAACAGTTTTTCTCCTGGACGTGTTTATTTGCAAATAAAATAGTATGGATGCCCGTTTTAGGACTTGCTAACATACTTGTCAGCAAAAGATTACAGGAGTAGGAAGTGCTAGCACCGATCGCGTGTTTGGGTGGGAGAAATGCGTGGGCTGAAGGACCACCGAGGCACCTTTACCCACTGTCCCTGTGAGCCGTCCGCAGAATCAGGGCTGCAAAGCCCAAATAGATGCTGGACACACTGTGACAGAAACAAATGAAAAGTACTGTGTGTAAGCAGAAGTGGAGATAACTTAACAGAGCCTCGCCTGGAGTACTGTAAGTCCGTGGGCAGAGTAGGCAAGATGTGGGCCTTCGTTCAGAATGAAGTCATTGCTGACAAAAGACCAAGACAAGCAGTTACACTTCTCAGTGTTTCTTCTTGCTCATCACATAACCTTGGCTGGGTTCTTGACCCGGAGTGCTGGCGTGCTCTGCTGTGAGCTGACGCTACGTGGAAGGCTCCCTTCCTGGGGTTGTCGCGAGGATTAGCAGGGCGAACCTTAACACTGGTCTGACACCCTACGTGCCCCATGAGTGCCTCTTAGTATGTGCTCAGTTTTTCCCCTAAACATCGGCCGGGCTCCTATTGGGTACCAGACTGAGCTCCCAGTCCGCTGTGGGAGGCAGACGGGAAGGAGACACCTAGTGGCGGGCTGCTGGAATGACCAGAAATGAGACAGGAGCTGTCGGAATGGCCTGCACAGGGCTTATTTTCAGACAGGAACACTGCGGCCCAGAGAGGGAAAGTGATTTGCCTGAAGTCACACAGTGGGTTAGTGGCAGAGCCCAGGCTACCCCCAGAGCTGGGCAGGGTGTCCAGAGGAAACAGAGAAATGGGAAGATGACGACTGAATCCTTTTAAAGATCCTTTGTAGAGGCACGAGTGTGGTGAGCAAACCTTGGACGCAGGCCTAGGCTGGACCCTGGCTCCATCACTTCTTTGCTGGGGCCTCTGGGCAATTCGGTTCACTTCTCGAGCCTCAGTTCCACATCTGAAAGATGGGGATGGTTTTCCCTGGTTGGGGTGGGGCTTAAAACAGGGTTCTTACGTCAGCTGTTCCTGGAATCACAACAGTGAAGACAAGGACATGGCCCTTTAATGCAGAAGGCGCTCAGCAGTCCCGTGGTCCTGTCCCCGCCCCCACCGACTGACAGGAGGGCTAGAACAGGCAGAAAGCACTGCGTTCCGGTTCTGTGCTGAGTGCCTTCCCTGCCCTTCCCCCCTCATCCCACAGCAGGCTTAGGAGGGTAGTGTTCAGACCCTCCCGTGCAGGGAGCAGGACGCAGGCTCCACAGGCAGCAAGTAGGCTCTGGAAGGGGATGTCATGCCCCAGTCTCAGCTGGGTGGGGCTGGGTGGGGCTGGGAGAGGGTGTGAAGAGAGCTGGTCTGCCCTGGGGCTGTGAGTGCGGGTCCACTAAGCTCCCTTTCTCCCGTGGAGGGGCTGCAAGGTGGAGAGGCAGACATGCTTCTGCGTGGTGTCGTCACAGAGCTGTTGCTATGGGGGCCCGGCTCTCCCAGACGCCTGTGTGACGGATCTGCAGCCGAGCCGGGTGCTGGGGAGCACGGGCAGGAGGGCCCGCTGACCGTATGTCTCTGCAGCTGCTGTGGAGGCCTGCGTCCTGCACGGGCTGCGGCGGCGGGCGGCCGGCTTCCTGCGCAGCAACAAGATCGCCGCTCTCTTCATGAAGGTGGGCAAGAGCTTCCCGCCAGCCGAGGAGCTGAGCCGCAAGGTCCAGGACCTGGAGCAGCTGATCGAGAGCACGTGAGTGCAGAGCAGGGCTGCGGGCTGGGGCGGTCCCCCAGACAGGCCCTCCGGAGCCCTGAGAGCTCGTGCCCCCAGCGCTGTCTCCGCTCTCCTTTCTGCTCCTCAGACCCACCAGACTCTTCCACCCCAGGGCCTTTGCTTATGCTGTGTCCTCCACCTGGTTCACATCCCTCGTCTTCCATGGCTGGCTCCTTGTCCTCATTCAGGCCTTCCCCTAGCTAAGGGTAAATTCCAACCCTCACCCCATTTCTCTTTCATATCACCTCATTTCTTTTTCTTCCCAATTGTTACCACCACGTGTAATCATTCATCTATTTGTTCATTCACTATTTACTTGATTGTTGTCTGTCTCCCCTTTTTGCCTGAATTCTATGAGGACAGGTGACTACATCTGTTACTCCCCATTATGTCCCCAGCATCTGGGAGAGCCTAGTGCCCAAGAGATGAGTGTTGAATGAGTACGTGCCTCCTGTGAGCCACGCCCTGTTCTAATGCGGCAAGGCCAGAGTTGGTTAGAACCAAATGGTCTCTGTTCACCTGGACCCCCAGTGAAACTCACATTGAGGCAACCACTACCGGGGAGCGGTGACGGCACTCGCTGCTCTTGGCTGACTGCACAGGGGGAGGCTCGCGGATGAGGTGTGTACGCGAGCGCCTCCCCCCAGAGTCACTCCCGGAGTTCCGACTGCACAGCCCAACTCCCAGCTGGCGCCTGGCAGGGATGGCAAGTAGGTTTCAACTCCTGGTGGAGCTGAGGCTGCCCGAAGACTGCGCTGTGAACGTGGCTGGGCTTCTAGGGAAAGAGCGCGGGGATTGGTCAGCCTGTCTGTCACGGGCAAGGGAATGGAGACAGGCTTGCCCGTGTCACCGTCTCTGCCACGGGCGCTCAGTCCACTGCACTGCTGAGAAATGGCCCTTTCCTTGACCTTCAGGACCTGCCTGCCCAGGGCTGCTGGCCAGAACTGCCTGATGGGCAGGACTCTGGGTTTGGCATTGCCTGCTCCCATTTGGTATCGGAATCAGCTACCTGGTCTTCAGGTGTCTTCCAGGCCAGCTGCTGAATCCCAGGTGTTGCTGATAATTTCTTCAGGATGGGCTTGCATCATATTGGGAGCTGTTCACGGAGGAATTAGAGCTGCCCATGCCGGGTGGTCAAGGAGAGCCATGCACTCACGCAGTCACTCGTTCACGAGTGTACATAGTGAGCCCCTCACATGCCAGGCACTGGGCAAGGCACTGGGCGAGGCCCTGCAGATACACACATGAAGCAGAGCCATTCTTGCCCCATGGTAGACTCTCAGGAAGTGTTATATTTGTTAAAATAATTGAATCGCCTAGTCCTTGCTCTTAGGTTACAGTGTGGAGGGGAAGAGGAGTGAGCAGGAAGTTAGGCTTCAGCGTCTGGCTGCTCTGAGGCTCCCTGCAGGAGGGGTGTCCTCGCTGAGCCCTGAGCAGTGAGAGGGGTTAGCCTGGGGGGGGAGGGAGGGGAGCAGCAGCTCATGGGGAGTCCTCAGACGAGAGCCCGGGGGGGGGGGGGCCTCAGGGATCTGCAGACATTTCTGTCTGGCGGGATCACGGGGTCAGAAAGGACAGTGATAGGAAATGGATGGAGAGGTGAACAGGAGGAAGGTCATGTGAAGTTTGCTTCTCAAGAGCAGTCAGGAGCCGCTGCAGGTCTGTAGTCCAGGACTCCTCTTGGCCAGCACTCCTTTCCAGCAGAGAGGATGGATGGATATTGAGAGAGAATATCAGTATGAGATCCTGGCCTACCCGTCCACAGTGTATGACATTGTCTGTTTTACCACATCTTCACACTCACTGGGTGTTATTTCTTTTCAACTCTTTACCCATTTGCCAGGAGCAGTGTGGTTTTAGTTGCCATTTATTTATCTTCTAGAGAGGTTGAACATTTTCTCATTTGAATATTGGTCCAGTTGGATTTTCCCTTTTGTGAATATCTTTTCTCCTCCTTTACTGGTCTCAAAGGCGAAACCAGATCCAGGGCCTCCAGGAGAATGTGCGGAAGCTACCGAAGCTGCCCAACCTGTCCCCACTTGCCATCAAGCACCTGTGGATCCGCACAGCCTTGTTTGAGAAGGTCCTGGACAAAATTGTGCATTACCTTGTGGAAAACAGCAGGTGAGCTGGAAAGACGATGCCTGGCTGCGCTCTGTCTCCACCTGCTGGCAGGCTTGGAAATTGCACCCCCTTGCACGAAACCTCTCTCTTTTTCCCCTTAATACGCACTTGACTTTAGAGTAATGAAATACAGGTCGTCTGGACATTTGAATCGGAACTAGCCTAGCTTAGAACCTTGGGAAGATTCAGGTGTTTGGTAGCAATGCAGGGTCTTGCATTTGGAGTGGGGAATAAGGATCTTGAGATGCTGGTGATCTTCCTTCTCCAGTGAAGTAAGCCCACAGTCTACTAGCCAACCATGTGGCCGCGGGGAAATCCCTTAGCTTCTCTGTGCCTCTGTCTTCTCCTTGGGTAGATGGCATAGGGATTGCTGCCGCTCCAGAGATGAGAAGGGGAGGTAGCGAGAACGCAGCATTTTGGAAGTGCATGGTGACTCTTTACATTTTCTCTCCTAGCTCAGAATTGCCTGATGTAAAGCTTTTATATATGAGTCCTCTCAGCGAGCGTTCTCCCGTGTAATCACTTCCTCATCCAGTAAGCGTTTCCTGATCGTCTCTGTGCCCCACACTCTCCCATACACTGGGGATGCGTGAGTCTTCCCTGTGAAGAGCAGTGGGGAGCCCCTGAAGAATCTGTACCCTGAGACTCTCCCTAGCCGGCACTCTTCAGACAGAGAGAGACAGAGAGAGATGTCTGAGACTCCCCCATCGTTTGGTATACGAAGGTGCCTGTGTACACCTTCACACACAGTGGGTATTACCATCTTTTACTCTTTGCCTGTTTGCTAGGAAAATCTGTTTGGGAGTTCAGGTCAAGGTCCGTCCCCTCATGAAGCTCGCACTGTAGCAGGGCGAACAGTCAAGTAGTCATTGTAATCATATGTGATGAGTGTTCCAAGACAGGTGGGTGGGGGTTGACCCCTCCAGGCGGTCACGGAAAGTGTCCTGGGAGGTATGACAGGTAAGCTTCCATGTGAAGGGTGTGGTGAGGGGCCGGGAAGAGCGTTCCCAGCAGAGGGAGCAGCAGGTACAAAGGCCATGAGGCAGAAGAGGAGCCGAAAGCACCCCAGGCCCTGGGGCTGCAGTTAATCTCTTCACCTTCTTGTAAATTGTAAGATGTCTCTGTGCCCTGCCCTGTTGTGGGTCCAGGACCTCTGAAGTTATTGCCTTCGGTGTATGACCTTGTGTTTCCCTACTGAATGTGTCGGTCAGAAGGAATTAGCAGTTATTTGAGCAGCAACGCCAACCTGCTGTTGCTTCTTTCAACTTGTTATTTTGAATTTTAGATTCACACAGAAGTTACGACCTTAGCGCAGAGAGTTCTTCCCTCCCTCAGTGATAGCGTTTACACAACCAGAGTCAAGTCTCAGAGCAAGGCGTTGCCGTTGGTACAGTACTGTTACCGAAACTACAGCCTTTATTGGGATTTCAGCAGTTTTTACATAGACTCATGTTCTTGCTATATGGTTGTGAAATGTTAATACACATATTGTCTCATATAAACCTCACCACACTCGGGATGAAGAACTGTTTGAAGGAAACACACCACCTTAAAGCAACTCCTTCAGGTACTTTTACAGTCACGTCTTGCTCCCGGGCCTCCCTGCTGTTTTTGAAGGCAGATTTCCAAGGTCACGTAACTGCCGGTTTTTGGAAGGGACACGGATGGTGGAGTGGAAAGTGTCTGGAAGTGTCATCTTCAGACCTGACACCAACTCGAAGTTGAGCAGGTCCAGGCATGTCAGTCCTGCCTCAGCCAGTGTTCTGGTTGGTCGAAGGTTTCTTTGGGCACGATGACGATGACGTTGCCCCCACAGCGAGCTTGCTGGTGTCAGTCTGCTCTGGCTGCACACGCAGGTCGGCGTCCCACGCGCCCAGCCGCCCGGGCACAGCATCCTCCCATTTCGTCCTGAAGCTCAGAGAGGATAGTCACCCGCCCAGGGCCACACAGCGAGGGGGCGAGGTGCCGAGATGGCTCCCACTCAGTCTCTCTGCCTCCAGATCCTCTGTCCTCGATTCCCGACTGGAGGAGGGACAGAGCCGGGCCAGCGGCGTGCAGCCCGCCCGCGTCCACCTGCTGTGTGGCCGCCAGCTAGCGACTTCCCTCTCTGGGGCCGAGATCGGCAGGTCAGAACAAGGTCCTTTGAACTCTGACATTCTGTCCCTGTTTAGAAACCATTATACAACTTGAACAAAAACCAAAAACATTCAGCACAAACCCTGAAGTACTGGCGGCTCCACGTGGTATTTCGAAGTCAGAAGTCGGGGGGTGTCTTTGAGTGCGTCAGGCCAGCACTGTCCCCGTGGCTCTGGACAGGAAGGCCTTTTGGAACAGCCACAGCTGAAAAGTGTTTTATTGCCTCGATAATAGAAGGGTAGATACCATCTGTGCCTCTACATGACTTCCTGTCTGAAAGGGACGACGCGGCGGAAGCAGGGGAAGCAGCCGGCCGGCAGCCTTCTGATTGCTATTCCAGCGACCTCATTAAGGCTTTTCTGCAGCCGCGTAGTGAGCGGTCACGTGGCCAGCGCGCGCTGGAATCTGTGCCTTTCATTTCTCTCCCGAAAGTCCTCCCAGCAGCCTCTGAGATATATTCTTATCTCCTTTCACAGACGGGGCAGCTGAGGCTTCCAGCAGCAACCACGTGACAGGAGGGGGCTGCTCTTAACCACCAGGCCGTGGTGGGTTGGGCGCCCTCTGCTGGTCACCACCCAAACCTGCATGTTCTCTCCTCTTGCTAGTAAATACTACGAAAAGGAAGCGCTCCTGATGGACCCCGTGGATGGCCCCATCCTTGCGTCTTTGTTGGGTGAGTGGTCCGCGCGCTGAGCTTCGGCTGGTCTCGGCTCACAGGGCACCTCCTAAGGGCCTCTCTCACCTGCCTCCAGCCTCCGCCATCAAAACGTACTTGTTCCCTGTCTCTCGCTCCCAGGGTCTTGTGCCTCGCCTTAGCAGGACCTGGGGCGTCCTTGCTGGCTAGAGGAGAGGGGCATGAAATGGGTGGCCATCTGGTGGTGGACGGGAGGGCGGACTTTCCGGCCGAGCGTGCAGCCCCGTCCGCTGTGCAGTGGGGCCCTGCGCGCTGGAGTACACCAAGATGAAGACGGCGGACCACTTCTGGACCGACCCCTCCGCCGACGAGCTCGTCCAGAGGCACCGCATCCACAGCTCACACCTGCGACAGGACTCGCCCACCAAGCGTCCAGCCCTCTGCGTGAGTGGGGGCGGTGGGGCCCTGGGGGGCAGCTCGCTGAGCGCCTGTCTCGGCGTGGGGGCAGGAGTGGGCCTTGGGGGTCACGGCAGGCTTCGTCCTCCACCTCTGCTCACACTGTCAGATCCAGAAGAGGCACTCGAGTGGCAGCGTGGACGACCGGCCGTCCCTCTCCGCACGCGACTACGTGGAGTCGCTGCACCAGAACTCGCGCGCCACCCTGCTGTACGGCAAGAACAACGTTCTCGTCCAGCCGGTGAGCCGCCAGCTCGGGCCCAGCTCCCCACGGGCCGGTGAGCGGCCAGCTCGGGCCCAGCCCCCCACGGGCCGGTTGAGCCACCAGCTCGGGCTCAGCTCCCCACGGGCCGGGCCGGTGAGCCCCCAGCTCGGGCCCAGCTCCCCACGGGCCGGGCCGGTGAGCCCCCAGCTCGGGCCCAGCTCCCCACGGGCCGGTGAGTGGCCAGCTCGGGCCCAGCCCCCCACGGGCCGGTGAGCGGCCAGCTCGGGCCCAGCCCCCCACGGGCCGGTGAGCCCCCAGCTCGGGCCCAGCCCCCCACAGGGTCTGGCTCCATGTCACAGACAGGTCAGGGTCTTCCAAATGGCCGTGACCTTGGAGGGAATGACCCAGCGTCTGGGTCCCCGCTGTGTGTCCTTGAGTCACATGGGCCATGTCCACTGTCGCCTCTGGCACTACAACCAGGCCTGAGTCCTCCTCTCTCTGCAGAGGGACGACATGGAGGCCGTCCCGGGGTACCTGTCCCTGCACCAGACAGCTGATGTCATGACCTTGAAGTGGACGCCCAACCAGCTGATGAACGGGTCTGTGGGAGACCTGGACTACGAGAGAAGGTAGGGTGCTGGGTCACTCCCCTCCCCCTGGCGCAGGGAAGTCTGTGCCCTGTTCCTTGTGCCCTGGCTCTACCCTGTGTTCCATCTGGTTGTCGCCTGGCCCAGCCGCCCTGTGGTGGTGGCCTCGTGGGTAACTCCAGGACTTGGGAGGGTCCAGGAACTGACCAGAAGAATCTTAGGGTGGGGGAGTTAGGCAGAGCTCTGGCCAAAACACCACCCAGAAATATCTTATCAAAGATTTCCTAAGCCCACAGACGGCAAGTACTCCCCGCCCGCGGCCGGCTTTCCCGTCCCTCAGGGAAACGGGAAGCAGGAAGTGTCAGTTGGTGGCATCGGTCTGGGGCTGTCTCCTCTGACATCCTGGGACGTATAAGACCAGCAAAGACTTTGGGGTCCGACTCCAAAGAAACATGGGACTGGGGGTTCCCTGCTGCACCGCCCCGTGTCCCAGCACAATCAGGGGCAGCTCTAGGAAGAACAGGGGAGCCTCGTGCAGGGGGCAGCGGCCCCCTAGTTCAGCTCGCGGAGTCTCGGCAGCTGGTGGGAAGGAGAGGCCGTGGCGTCTGCCCTGTGTCCACGCCTGATCTCACCGTTCGCTGCGTTGCCCTGCTCTCTTCACCGTGTTTGGTTGTGAGCATTTCCAACATGAAAATAGATAGGACTTGAGTGCCCATCCACCAGTCCTCGCGGCCACCCCCGCCCCTGCGTTACCCGGCGGCAGCACGCAGGCAGCAGGGGTTCGTCTGTGTGTATGTAAATGAAATAAGGACTCCTTTCAAACCAGACGCTATTATTGTGTTCTGTTCAATGTTAAATCCCACTGTGAGTGATCCTGGGCCTTGGTGTGATGAATACTGTTCTCTCAGCTGGTCACTTCCTGTGCAGAGGTCACCATCTGTCCTCGGGGTCAGTGGCAGGAGCGGTTGGTCCCAGGCTGGGCCACATCATTCTGCTCCAGCCAGACCCTGGGGCAAGGAGGTGCTCCTGGCCCAGTACCTTGCCTCAGTCATTCGCACTAACCCTGGTATCGGGCCTTCCCCGACTTCCCAGCTGAGTGCACAGCGCACGGAGCCCTGAGTCTCCCTCGTGCCGTTCACAGAATCATAGTCACCTGCCGACTCTGTGCCCCATGTGTGCTGACTGTCGCCCTCCAGACCTCAGTCCCCTGAAGGCAGGGACTCTGCCTTCCTCACGTCTCCTCTGAGCACCTGCCACAGATCGCCACACAGGTGCTCAGACGTCTTTGTGAGACCGAGCAGGGAAACCGGAGTGCCTGGATTTGCTCATTAAATACTAAGCAAGGTCCTGGCCGGTTCGGCTCAGCGGTTAGAGTGTCGGCCTGCGGTCCAGAGAGACCCGGGTTCGGTTCCCGCTAAGGGCACGTACCTCGGTTGCATTTTGTCCCCGGCCCTGGTTGGTTGTGCAGGTGGCAGCCACTTGATGTGTCCCTTTCACGTCGCTGTTTCTCTCTCTCCCTCCCTCCCTCCCACTCTATCTGAACAAAAAATGGAAAAATGTCCTCAGGTGAAGATAAAAAAAAAAATGTAAATACTATGCAGGTACTTCCTATGTGCTAGGTACTGAGCTAGATACACAAGAGACAGCAGATGGATAAAAGGGGCCAAGAAGGAGGGGTCCTTAGAAAATCGGGACCAGCGAAGAAGAGTCTGGGGGGACCACAGTACAGACAGAGTCTGGGGGGGACTGCGGTGCCGGCAGAGAGCCTGGGGGGACCGCGGTGCCGGCAGAGAGCCTGGGGGGGACCGGGGTTCCGGCAGAGAGCCTGGGGGGACCGCGGTGCTGGCAGAGAGCCTGGGGGGGAATCGCGGTGCCGGCAGAGAGCCTGGGGGGGGGGAACCGCGGTGCCGGCAGAGAGCCTGGGGGGACCGCGGTGCCGGCAGAGAGCCTGGGGGGGGGCAACCGCGGTGCCGGCAGAGAGCCTGGGGGACCGCGGTGCCGGCAGAGAGCCTGGGGGACCGCGGTGCCGGCAGAGAGCCTGGGGGGACCCCGGTGCAGAGGTCGGGGCAGGCGGGTCCTGGTGGGAAGGGTGGAAGGCCTGCGGGCGAGGTCTTCTGGCCTCGGGGCCCTTCCGCTCTGAGGCGAACAGACATCCCACAGCTTAACCTTCCCTCGCCTCCCAGTGTCTACTGGGACTACGCCATGACCATCCGCCTGGAAGAGATCGTCTACCTGCACTGCCACCAGCAAGGTAGGGGCTGCGGTGGGAGCACAGGGCGGGTCCTCCCTCTCGATCCCCTGCCGGCCCACCCTCGTATGACCTGTGCGACCTCAGCAACCGACTCATCTCTAGGCCTCAGTTTCCCCTCGGTGGGGATCATACAGCACCTGCTCATGGGTTAGTGTGAGGATCGAGTGACAGATGTTAAGGGCTCAGCATCAGACCTCTGGTGCCCCTCGCTGGCACTGAGCGCTTACGATGTGCCAAGCGTGACCCCGAGCACGTGCATGCCTGTGAGCGCATCAGCGGTGACCTCGCGACGGGCTCTGTCATTCCCAGTTGACGGGAGGAAGCAGCGAGGCACAGAGACACACAGCTTGTAAGCTCCAAGCCGAGACTTGAATCCGGGTCTTTGTCACCCCGAAGTTAGTGTTCTGCAAATCGGGGATTATGACTGGAGTTCCCCTTTAAAGCTCAAAGAAGGTATAGTCCTAATAAGCAGAGAGTCATCCTGCTTGGGAAAGCAAGGGGCCTGCGGCCCACCAAGGCGCAAAACATTTAAGCGTATTTAATGAGGTAGACCTGGGCTGCTTACTAGCTGTGTGACCCTTGGCGAGTTACATAACCTCTCTGGGCCTCGGTTTCATCGTTCGTAAAATAGGCAGTAGTAGATGCCTTATATTTTGAGTTGTACAATGAGATGGTGCCTTTTACACGATGTGCTGACGTACAGTAAGTGCGTGATCCGTGCTGGCAACAGTTAACGGCTCCCTGCCAAGGGGCGGGTCTGAAAGCCTCCGTACGGAAATAGGTCAGGTAGATTTGTAGGGGGCGCTCGAGGGGCATGGGGTGCTGGGGGCATCCTTTTCCTTTGGTGGGTGGCTGAAGAGAGGCCAACCACACTCTTCTTGACCAGTCCTAATGTTCCCAGTGAATGGTGACGGGAGGCGGGATGAAAGGGACTCAGGAGGTAGAACTGCCCCTGACCTCTGTCCAGGCCTGTCCCAGAGCCTCAGGGCAGGTCCACGTGTCCGGCCCGGCGTGCCTGGGGGGGTGTGTCGGCCAGGAGGGCCCTGTCACCGGGCCTCAGGTGACTCACTGTTGGGTCACATGGCAGTGGACAGCGGTGGGACAGTGGTGCTGGTCAGCCAGGACGGGATCCAGAGGCCGCCCTTCCACTTCCCCAAGGGGGGGCACCTCCTGCAGTTCCTGTCGTGCCTGGAGAACGGGCTGCTCCCTCACGGGCAGCTGGATCCCCCACTCTGGTCTCAGCGGGGAAAGGTGAGTGAGCTGGGCCCAGGGAGGTGGGGTGGGGTCGGCCATGGGGAGCGGTCCCAGGCCCTTACGTGGCTTTGAGGGCTCTTGCACACCCTACCCAGACCCTCAGGCCTTGCAGGTGGGGTCAGGTGTGTCCCAGGGACTATGCGTTGGGACGTGTTTTTTCAGGGCAAAGTATTTCCCAAACTGCGGAAGCGAAGCCCTCAGGGTTCCGCCGAGTCCACGTCTTCAGACAAGGAAGAGGACGAGGCCACGGATTACGTGTTCAGGATCATCTACCCCAGCCTGCACTCTGAGCTCGGTAAGCGGTCCTGTGCCCAGGAGCCGCCCGTTAGCTGACCCTGAAAGTGACCCGCGTGTTTAGAAACAGGACAAGAGGTCTGGTGCTGGGGCCAATGAGGGGACCAGGAATCAGGAAGTTTGTATCTCGGCGGCCTCGATTTGCCCCCAAATGAGAACAAATAACCCCTGTCTTCTCAGCAATAGAGGCGGCTGACTGGCAGGGGCATGAGGTGGTGGCAGCGGCGCGGGCTCTGAGATCCTGGTGAACTCGGGCAAGCCCCTTCCGCGCTCTGTGCCTCCTTTCCACCGCCTATAAAGTGGAGATGTTGGTAGCACGTACTTCACGGGGCTTTGGGGGGATTACATGGGGTAAAGCACTTGACACAGAGAGAACTCTCAGACGTCGGCTCAAAGTGTTGTGAGGATGCAGAGATGGCGAGGTCGTCCGAGCGAAGCCCGCAGGATACGGCCTTGCCCACGGCAGGCCCTCGAGGAGAGTGCAGGCGGCAGAGGGGACGCGGAGCACGTGGCACGGGAGACGACAGCCTGTCGCAGGGGTTTGCCTGGTGGCTGCCCAGAGACAGGCGCTCAGTGAATGGAGACTTGCCATTCAGATCGTCATGACCGTGGGCTGTTGTCAGGATTAAGTGAATCACTATTTGAAAAGTTCTTGGAAGGAGGCCTGGCATTTATTGGATTAAGCACTGTATTGATGTCTGTTAAACAAATCAGCATCGCATTATATGTTCTTTCTGTTCACCTCGTTTTATTTAACGCTCTGTGGCCCCATTGATCCTATTTGATGGACCATGACTCTGAGCCTCCCTTTGCTTAAGTGACCTTGACTGGGCAGCAAGAGGCTCTTTGGAAGCAGACGCCCTTCCCGCAAGGCTGAACTGACCATGCCCGGCCACTCAGTGCTGATTCTCATTGGCTCGGGGTGTGGGGCAGGCTTGGCGGGAAGGTCTTCCGGGGCTTGGGCCGGTGTGTTTCCATCCACGGCCAGTTGGGAGCACAGTCTCCTGTGGCTGCGACATTAAGAGCCAGAGTGTCCTAAGGGTTCATGTGCCTTCCTGCCAGGCTGTCTGTGGCACACAGCCCCACCGAGAGCTGAGTCATCAGCGACGACCAGATGCCCCGTGGCCGCCTTTCCAGAAAACCCTCCCCACAGGGCTCCGTCCTCCGACAGCTGACTCGTGGGCCCTGGCGGGAAGCCAGGCTGGGAGCTGGGTGGCCCTTGTCTGGGCAGCCTCCGTGTTAGCCTCTTGGGGCCCGCGGTGCCCACGCACTCTCTTCACGCGGCACCACCCAGCTCCCAGACTCATCCCTTTGCCCAAGGGGTTGCTCTGGCCACCAAGGTCCCTCTGCCCATGGCTGGGGCACAGAAGTGCCAGGGAGTCAGTCTCCCGGAGCAGCCCTCAGCCAGCGACTGGCAGGAGGTGGTGTGCAAGTGCCCAGCTCCCTCACCCTCCGCTTTCTCTTCTGCAAAGGGGAAGAGAAATGCGTTCCCTGCCGGGCGGGGTCGTCAGGTGGCAAGGCACCCTCTGCCTAGCATGGCCCCAGCCCATGGGAGCACTTGATAAATGTCAGCGTTGGTTCAGGGTGTGGGAGCCGTGTGGGGGAGGGCGGGGAAGGGTCCAAGCCGAGGAACTGGTTCTTCTGGTCGTTTGGGCGGCCGCCCGCCTCTGACCTTCCGTTTCACCGGTGCTTTTTGTTTTGTGTCTCAAGTTGTTCCCGACCCCTTGGGCAGCACGTCCCCTGTCTCCGTGGGCCCTGCCTGGACGGTGGTTCCTGCGGGCCGGTCCGTGCTGGTGGTGGCCAAGGGCAGTCGGTGGGAGCAAGCCAGATGGGATGCCACGCTCCCCAAGCCAGGCTTGAAGCAGCAGCCCCCCAGTAATGTCTGGGTCCTTCCACCCCTGGGACTGGGTACCAGCCACCTCTGCCATGTTGTCATTTGAGTCTTGGTCCCATTGGAGATGGAGGAGAAAGACAAATCAGTACCTTACACTGTCTGGCTGGTGCCTGCAGGACACAGCGTGGAGGGTTGTGGGCTCCGTAGTGAGGGGCTGGGGCAGAGCGTGCTCGCCACACCTGGGCGCAGCTGCTCAGCGCTTCCCTGGGCCTGACTGAGAACTGGGGCCATTTTTCTAGAACATTTTACAGGAGTTCTGGTCACTCTTGGCCAGCTCATTGGTGAGCCTGCCTGGGGAGGAAGTAGTGTAACAAACCACTTTGGTGGCCCCGGAAACCTCATTCTGGAGGCAGCTTTCTCCTGTGCCACGGGGTCGGGGCTGACCTTGGGTGGCTGAGTCCTGGGAGCCGGAGGGAAGACGCGGGTGTTGGCACTCACCCTTGAGGGCGCAGGACACATGGTGTAAATGTGCACCCCTCTTAATTTCCTAGAGCAAGGCTTGGCAAACTACGGCCTGCAGGCCAAATCCAGCCTCATCCTGTGTGGCCCACGAGCTGGGAATAGTTTTTACATTTTTTAAATAACTGAAAAAAATGAAAAGCAGAAAAATACTTTGTGACAGGTGAAAACAATTTGAAACTCACATTTCAGTGCCCATAAATAAAGTTTTATTAGCACACACCCATGCTCGCTTGTTTACATTTTGTTGGTGGCTCCTTTTGCAACAGCAGAGTTGAGTGGTTACGATAGCAACCAAATGGCTCATAGATCCAAAAATATTTCCTCCCTGGCCCTTTACAGAAAATATTTATTCAGCCCTGTCCTACAGAAAATTTCTTAGCTCCTTCTCGAACGGGCAAGAGGCCAGAAGTTAACCACAGGCGTTGTGTGTGTCACCGCTAGGTTTGCTCTGCAGCGTCACAGACAGGCTGCGGTTGTCATGGAGCTGCGGAAGAACAGCCAGGGGGACTTGAGTGCTGTTGCTGGCAGTTGCTCAGGAATCACCAGCGCCCAGGAGTTAGGAGATCAGGCGGCCGTGCCTTCTTGGTTTTCAGATGTGGCTGCTGTATCAGAATTGTTTTTGAAATATAGACTGAAGGGCTGTATGACCAGAAGGTTTTAATTCGGTAGGTCAGGGGTGGGATCCAGGCTTCTGGCTCTTTGACAAGCCCTCCCCCTGATTCTGGGAGTCACCAACCTGGGTGAGACCCAGTTGGAGCAGCTGTGTGGCCCAGGACCAGGGACAGCACAGGTGCCCTTCAGTGAGGACCCCACTGGGTTCTTGCCCTTGTGTGCCCTGCCTCATCAGATGAGTCGGCTCCCTGTCTTACCACCAGAGACTCTCTCACCCAGAGAGTCTGTCTTTGGGGACCGGAGACCATCTGCCATCCCAGAAGCCCCCAAAATGACAACATGGTGCGAGGCTTGGCCTCCTGCTCTGGGTTGGGCCTGCTTTCTTGGCTCTGGTCTCTCTCTTCCCTTCCACTCTCTTCCCTGTTATCAGCCCTGCCCATTTGCCGGGGGACCCAGACTTGGTGATGGCTTTCACTGGATCGTGGGCTCAAGGACGTGGGTCAGACGATGATTGGGGTTGCTGTTTCCTACTGTGACACGGGCTTTTCCTATCCCTGTGCTGGCCAAGGAGCGAGCTGCTTGTTTTGAGTGAGGTTTCTGTAACCGACGTAGGCTCAGCCAGGGCTCTTCCTCTGCCCCTTCACCCCACCACAGTGCCCCAGGACCTGATGGATGTCTCCATGAGCAACCTGCCGTCCCTCTGGCAGCCCAGTCCCCACAAATCCTCTTGCTCATCCTGCTCACAGAATGGCTCGGTGGATGGTGGTGCGACCAATGGCTGCAAGCATGAGAGGTATGAGGGCTTGAGCTGTGGATGGGGGGAGTGGAAGGGTTGACCAGAGATCTGCAGACACCTGTCACTTGCCTTGCTCTGGCTTCAGAGGCTCTAGAACAGCGGGTCTCAACCTGGGGGTCGCAGCCCCTCTGGGGGTCGCACAACCCTTTCACAGAGGTCACCTAAGACCATCGGAAAACACATATTTCCGATGGTCTTAGGAACCGAGACACGGCTCCTCTATCCGTCTCCAGGCGGGGCCGCCCACATGCAGACACGCCCACAGTCAGCATGAGGGACTGTACCAAAGGGTCGGCATTAGGAGGGTTGGGAACCGCTGCTCTAGAGTCATCCGAGTCTAGGCCAAAGCTTCTCCTTGTGAAGCCCTAGCTACTGGAGCCTCCTCACATGCATCAGTCAGGGTGAACGAGGCACGTCGCAGTCACAGTCCTGAAGTCAGCAGTGGCTGTTACAGCAGAGGTGTATTTGTCATGCATGCCAGGTGTCTGTTATGGGTCAGCTGGAGACTCTGCTTTCTCCACGTTAAAGCCCCCCCTTGCTGGCTGACGGAGCCACCACCATCTGGAATATTGCCAATCACCGTGACCGAAGGAAGGTGGCTTGGAGGGACTCGAACCAGCACTGAAATGCTGCAGCCCGAACGAGGCACCTGTCACTCCCACCCACACCTCCTTGGCCCTGTCCGCAAGGGGCCAGGAAGTGCGGTTCTCCCGTGCTCCTGCTTAATGACAGCCACACAATGGGGACACTGAGGCCTACTTTATGTAGCTGTTGTAAGGACAAATCAAATAGTGGTTTAAAGTGGCCATCATGTGGTACTTGGCACATGGTAATAGTCAATAAATGACACACTGTTTTACTGTATAAAGTTAAACCCCAAGATCATCTCTTTCCTTGCACATTGAACATGGGTCTCTTTCGAAGAACTACTCAGCCCGTTCATGAGCACGGTCTGTGTCCCACTGGCCTGGCCTGGGGAAATGGGATCCTTCTTTCCCTGCTGGATCTCTGTCCCACTGGGTGGTCAGTCTTCAGCTGTAGGAGCATAAAGGGTGGGGGCTGGATTCAGATTTTTTAAGTCTTCTAAGCCCCGTGGACCAGAAACATTATCCCCTGAGCAGATTCTCAGTCCATCCCAGACCTCCTGAAGCAGAATCTGCACTACCAAGATCCCAAGACCAGATGTGTCCTTTCGTGGGCGAAGCACCGCTGTAGCTGGCAGTGTCACGTGTCAGTGTGCAGCAGAACCGCCTGGGGAGGGAGCGCACCCTGCTGCTTCCTGGGCCCCCCCAGAGGTCCTGCCCGAGTGGGTCAGTGCGGGCCTAGGAACCCACACGGTGGAGAAATTCCAAGTGATCACGGGCTGGTGGCCCATGGACCACTGAGAAATGCTGTTCTGACGTAGTACCCCCCCTCATTGTGTCTGCTTACACACCTCTAGTGACAGGTAGCTCACAGCCTCGCAGACAGCCAAGTACACACTGGAGCAGCCTCAGTGAGACGCTGCTCTCACGTGATCTGAGTAGCTCGGGCCTCACCAGCCTGAGGGCACAGAGAGGGTGACTGTGAAGTTTAATGCCTCTGGGTATAACTGGGGGGCCTCAGCCATGTCTCCTCAGTGTCCCTGGGTTTTCCTGGGTGTCCCCTAGGATGACTTTACTCTGTTCTGTGCAAGAATGCACAGCACTCCCTCCCGCACTCCTTACTTTCCAACAGTGCTGGGGCCTATTCCTGTCCCATTTTTCAGCCCCTCCCCCCAATTCCCATACAAGGAGAATCTCTGAGGGATCACCTACTTTGCAGTCAGCTGAACTCTGAGTCCCAGTTTGGGTCAGTTTGGTTCAGCTGGGTCACTTCAGAAGTCAGAACTCTTTCTGAAAGTGTCAGAAACCCACTTCCAACTGGTTCAAGTAAAAAGGAAAATCTTGGCAGAATTGAAAAGTCCAACAGGTGCAGAGGCTTCAGGTATGGCTGGATCCAGATGCTCAAAACAGGACTCTCTCTGTTTCTTTGGCTCTTGCCTCTGTTTGCCACTGTGATGGTTTCATTCTCTGGTGGGCTTTTCTGTGCAGTAGCAGAAATGGATCCCAGCTGCCACTGCCCCATATCCCAGTGGCTTAGAAACTGAATCAGGGGAAACAGTGTCTGTTCCCCAGTTGTTCCAACAGAAGTCCCAAGGCTGATTCTCATTGGCTCAGGTTGGATCACGTCATCACCTCTGACCCAGTCACTGAGACTCCAGCCTGAATCATGGACTGGGTAGAACCAGCTCCACCCAAACCATAGGGGCAGATTTGGGGACTCCAAGCTGATAGCAGAAGGGGCAGTGATGCTGCATGGGCAGAAATAATGCCCCCGCAGTCCCCTTGACAGCCGGTTTTAATCTGCTCCTAGAGATAATGAGCTGTCACCCCTCCAGGAAACCTGGGTCGTGTGTGGATCTTCTCTGAGTTTCTCCCTTTTCCTCCACCTGCAGGGCTCCCCTGAAGCTTCTCTGTGACAACATGAAGTACCAGATCCTCTCCAGAGCCTTCTATGGATGTGCGTACTGACCTTACTTGCCACTGTGGTCTCCAGGGAGCACTCACCGAGTGCCTGCTGCATGCCTTCAGTGTCAGGGGAAGGAGCCCGGCTCTGGGGTCTGGACCTGTGCTCCTGTTTCCTAGATGCCTGGTTTGGTGACATTACATTCACTTCTCTGAGCCTCAGTTTCCTCATCTACAGATTGGGGATAAATATTATACTTTGGTCCTAAGAGGGCCGTGATCAGTGGGGTTCCTCGGTGGCAGGGGTTTGGTTCAATCACTGGTGCATTCCTGGTGCCCACCTTAGAGTGTTGTTTTCAGAGCTGAGTGAGAAGCATGTGTATAGACTGCACCGCGCATCGCACGCCACAGGTGCTCCATACCTGTCCGTTCCCTTCTGCTGTGGGAAGAAGCAGAAGAGGGATGTGTCCTGATCTCTTCCCGAGAACTTAAAACTAAATTCAAAATATAAGTACTCTGATGATTTAATTTCAACAAGCGAGGAAACTAAGGCACAGAGAGGCGAAGTGACTTGTCCAAGCTCACACAGCTCATGGCCACAGAGTGGGACTCAGCCCCAGGCCGGCCTGGCTTCAGAGGCTCTGCTTTCTCCTCTCTGCTGTAGGACTCTTGGCAGGTTCAGTGCCCCCAGCCTCTCAGCCTGGATGCAGAGAAAACATGAGGGTATTTTCAGGATTCTGGAGAAGTGTCACATGTGCATGGGCCTGTCCCCCAGGGCCGGGAGAGGCACGGGAGCCTGAGCCCGCCCAGGTCAAGGTCTGCCTTTCTGTGCCTAGCGCAGGGCCTGGCGTAGAGCAGGGCCCGGGGACTATTATGGACTCAAATGGAAGCGCTTCCTGGATGACGGGGAGCGGGTTACGAGGGGTCTCGAATGACGTCATCACACAATGTGGCTCATCCCTGATGGCAGTCGAGAGCCCAGGTTCCAGAACCAGGCAGTTTGGGTTCAAATCCCAACGCTACCCTTCTCAGTGTGTGACCTGAGCAAGTGGTGAAACGTGTGGTTCAGTTCCCGCCTGTCAGAAGGGGGCAACGAGGGTACCTGCCGTGGTGAGGATGGGAGTTGGAATGTGTAACTCCAGGCGCAGCCCCCGGTACTTAGGCTGTGCTGTGTCGGTGTTAGCCACATATCCTCAGCGTCGTCGGCAGGGGAGTCCTCGGGTTCTGGAAGGTCAGGGTCCTCTCTGGAGTTAAGGGGGTGAGGGGAGAGCCAAGGACAGGTATGGCGTCCGCACAAACAAGCCAGTGTTGCCGAGTGCCTCTTGTGTGCCAGGCACTGCGCCCTCCAGGTGCCGGATGGATCGGGGGAAGGTTGGCAGGCACAGTGCAGGCCCTCTCTGAGAGCAAACCGCTGCCCTCAGTGTCTTCTCGGTGTGACTTGCCAGGACTTCCCGTTCCCAGTCTCGTCATGGATTGAGGCGCCGAGGCACAGTGAGCCCGCAGTCACTAGCCCCTTCTTGCCTGCCCCTTCTCTGCCTCCATCCTTGAATTAAATACCTCGATTCCAGCAGAGGAGGTGGTGTCACCCTGACCAAAGTTGAGAAAGGTGATAGAACCTCCCCAGGGTCACAGAGATTAAGCTGTCAAGCCAGCAAGTGACTTCACCCCTGTGAGCCTAAGCTTCCTTGCCTGGAAACGGCGGACGGTGAGAACTCGTTGGGTCCTGAGGGTTCAGGAAGACTGGACAAGCACCTGGGACACTCTGAGGCAAGGCAAGAAGGGTTGGAGGATGGCTGATGATCCTTTCCCTCTCTCCCCGCACAGGGCTTGCCTACTGCAGACACCTGTCCACCGTGCGGACCCACCTGTCAGCCCTGGTCAATCCCGTGATCGTGTCTCCCGACCTGCCCTGCGATGCTGGACGCGGGCTGACGGCGGGCATCTGGGAGCAGTACCTTCAGGACAGCACCGTAAGGCGTGGCCCGGCTCACCTGGGCGGGGCCGAGACTGCAGGGCGGGCCCATCCTGTGACCTGAGGACTAGACCTGTCTGTGGGGACTCGAGGATGTTGTGATAGCTTTGAGTTCTGCAAACCCAATTGAAGGCTCCCTCCTAGTCCCTGAGAGTTCCAGGACCATAGCCTGCTTTTGCCAATTGAGGTGGGGTCAAGGAGGACGGAAAAGACAGTGCTCGCCTGGAAGGAGAAGGCCTGTCAGTCACCGAGCGCTTGTTAGGCACCGGCTGTATGCTCAGTCCTGCAGGAGGCGCTGGGAGTCCCAGTGGGCAGGAGTTCATCACCCCCGTGGGCCTGCGTAGAACGATGAGAGTAGCTCAGTCAGAGGAGGCAGCTGGACTCAGAAAACCCACCGCTGTTCAAAACGTTCTTCCGCCTGTGTTAGGGCCTGAGATTCTGCCATTTGGATATGTCACATGGAAACAGATTTCTGAGGTTTTTCCTAAGAATTCAAATGTCCCTGGAAGGAAAATGTTTATGTTTGAAAAGAGTTTCATAGTCAGATAGCTCAGGAAATAAGATTAAACAGCTCTTGGTATCCTGAAGGATTTCTTTGAACCCTGACTATGCCAATGTGCTTGTCACTCTCAGGAAATTGGGGGTACGGGGAGGGCAGATGGAGCACTCCCTCAAATGGATTTGGCCACAGAAACCTTTGTTGGAAAAGGACCTCCCGTGGCTTGTGGAAGGTGAATCCACGTTGAGAAACACGAATTGAACTGCTTCCAGGAGCAGGCGGTACCTGACCCTCCACGCTGGATGAGCCAGCCGCCGGTGCCTTTCCACCGGGCCCTGGGGGCCGGGCTGGCGAGCACCTGGCCCTGGCTGGCTTCTCCACTCTGGGGAAGGTGCTGTGTGTCTGTTAATGTGGGATTGCCAGGGGACTCGGTGAGAACAACAGCCTGGTTCCCAAATCTGGGCAAGCAGGGGCTTGTTTTACATTTTTGCCAAAAACAGTTGTTTTTCTGACGAGATCGGGCGCGTTCAGGGTGGTATGGCCGTAGACCAGTTGTTTTTCTAAATTACAGGAGGCATTTGTATTTACCGTAACAATTCAAAGACCGAAGGATGCACATTTTATATATAGAATACAAATTTTTTATTTTTATCTTTGCTTTTACTATTGCAAAAGGGGAAAGAGACGTCAGAATAGAACTGAGCTCAACTCCAAATTCAGAGAAGACAGCTGTTGATGTATGGCCAGTGAGCAGGGTGAGGGGCCAGTGGGTGGAAAACTAACAGAAGACATCCAGGGTGGGGGTTCCTGCTAAAGCCAGGCCAGAGGTTTGTGCGTCAGGCTGTGAGAGGCGAGGAACTAGGTCAGATGTCCAGGTGAGACTCCCCCTAAACTGCCAGCAGGATTTCTGCTCAGCCGGGCAGGCAGGTGGAGGACAGGCCCAAGGTTGAGGCCTCGACCAAAGAGAACTCAGGAGCCTGCCTGACGTTCGACGCTGAAGGAGAGAGTCTTTACAGTTTCTAAAAAATACTTCCCTTCTGCTTTACTTCTCTAGCTCAGATCCCTTGAGTTAATTGAATAGGGTTAGTTTGGTGTAGACTGTATCCTGTGTTTTCTATGCTTGTACATCCATAGAGCATCTATACAAATGTATCTGTAACTCCTTTAAAAAATGAGGTGACATTATATTTGTATTTTCAGTGACCAGCTTACTTTTATATTGAGGATGTACTTATGAATTGTTGAATATTAGAACCGTAGCGATTCATATATGGATGGACCATCATTGATTCAAATCTTTCCCTAATGGTAGATATCTGGCCTCTCTCTTTTTAAAAAATTGTGCCAGCAGTGCTGTAGTTGGCCCCTTCCTAAGCACGTCTTTCTGTACTGGTGGTTTTATTTCGAGAGTGGATTCCTAGAAATAGAATGGACTGACGTGCATTTAAAATATAAACAGACCTGCGAGCTTGCTTTCCCAGAGGTCATGGTTTCCACCAGCGGCCCACGAGATGCTCGCTCCTGAGGCGTGTAAAAGACTTACCGACATCTGGGCTCCACTCCAGCTTCACTAATTTAGCATCTCTGGGAGTGGAGCCCAAGAATTTATATTTTTTGAAAGTTTCCCAAATGCTTCTAGAAAATCTTCTAGATCTTCTGAATTTGGGAGGCACTGGTCTGAGGACACATTGCTGGAAACAATAAATTAGTGGAAAACGAGTATTTTTCATCCAAGGTTTTTGCAAGCCTTTCACGGCCTATCGGCCATGTTTCCGCCGTTCTTGTTTGCATTGTTGCATCAGGGTAGACTGAACGGCAGCAATACAGAGTCCCTGCCATTTCAGTTGATTGACACCACAGGGGTATATTTCTTGCTCACTTAACAGTTCTGGGTGGGTATTCCTGCTGAGTGGGCATCTCTCTGCCCTCCAGAGGAGTCTGTCAGTCTTGTGGCCCCATCAGCCTTCAGGGACTCATGGTCACCTGCCTCTAGGCAGCAGAGGGGAAATGGGGAAGGTGTGAGGGGGAATACACCTGCTTTTTCAAAGCCCTGGACTGGGACTGCCTTCCATCACTTCCTCTCACATCCCATTGGTCAGAACCCAGTCACCTAGCCACACCTAACTGCAGGGGAGGCTGGGAAGTGGAGTCCAGCCGTGGAGTCCAGCCGTGGAGTCCAGCCGTGGACTCCGGGAGAAAAGGATGTGGATTTTTGATGAAGTGTTCACAGCCTCACCCACAGATTAGTTCTCTGATTTGTAAACGGGGCTGTCTGCATAATATGAACCAAAATTCCCACCAAGGACAAAACAAGGGCTGGTTTTGCCTTGTGGTTGCACATCTGAGACTAGCATTGAGAAGTGAAGTGGGCTTTTAATTTTGGAATAAAGAGGTGAGAGGAAACAGGATCCCCCCGCCCCTCAGGAGCCTTTCAGTGGTCATGGGCGCGCACACCAACGCACGTCGGCGCCCAGATAGACCCTGCTGGTCCCCCAGCCGGACTGACTAGGACTGCAAAGCCTTCGCCTAAGAATGGATTTTAAAAGAAAGCAAGAAAAAAATCGACTCCACAATAGGGCATACAGTTGCTAAAGCCATCCTAGTGTGCCCTGAAATTATTAGCAGGTGCAGGACAAGCTGCGCATGTCCATTGTGGATTACTTTGCTTTAACACAGTTTTCTTAGAGCTCAGTCAAGATGAAAAACCCCAAGGGGCTGGGGGGCGGGGCAGCTCTGGTCTCATGCTGGACCAAGGTGGGGCAGGCAGGTGGGGAACCAGGAAGCTTGAGGGCAATGCTGTGCAATAGAAATACGGCACAAGCCGCAGGTGTCTTTCTTTTTTTTTAATAAACATTTTACTTTGAGATAATTGTAGATTCACATCCTTTTTCATTACCTTCCTTCTCTCCTTCCTGGCACATAGTAGGTGCTCAGTTAAGTCAATTGCATGTTTTTCCTAAATATACTCAGTATACAAAATTGACTAGAAATTAAATAGAACTATAAGTTCATTATACACTGGCCTTTCTGCCGTTTGTTTTTTTTTTTAACCAAAATGTGTTCACACTAGACATGATCTGTATCTTGTTTTTTTCCAACACATTGCACATCCTTTTGTGTAGTTTCTCATAGATGCATCTCCTGCCCTTTCTACTCTGTGCTATTCCCATGGTGGGGTGTACTGTTCTCCCACTGGTGGTAGTTGAGGGGTTGCTAGGGTTTTGCTTTCATGTCATATTGCAATGGGTATTGGGTACATACGGCTTTGCTCATTCATGCCAGGGTCTCTAAGGGCTGGGTCTGAAAAGCAGAACTGCTGGGCCACGGAGTCCACCCCTGGTTTTCTGTGGACCAAACCTTTGCTCTCCCCTCCCCCCACCACAGAGTTATGAGGAGCAGGAGCTGCTGCGTCTTATCTACTATGGGGGCATCCAGCCCGAGATCCGAAAGGCTGTGTGGCCCTTCCTGCTGGGCCACTACCAGTTCGGGATGACAGAAACAGAAAGGAAGGAGGTTGGTTACCCTGGTGGACAGTGGGGTCTTTGGCAACTAAAGGAGCCAGGTACTGTGGGGCTGGGGGGCGGGGCAGCTCTGGTCTCATTTTTTTTTTTTTTAATAAACATTTTACTTTGAGATAATTGTAGATTCACATCCTTTTTTATTACCTTCCTTCTCTCCTTCCTGGCACATAGTAGGTGCTCAGTTAAGTCGATTGCATGTTATGCCATGAATGTTGCGTGGGTGCTTCCAGGGCTCAGGATCCCAGGTCAGAGCCACCTGGTCTTCCCAGTGGCGTTGGCTGTCCCCCGCGATCCCAGCACTTCAGATGACCTTGCATCTCCCCTGGCAGGTGGACGAGCAGATTCATGCCTGCTACGCACAGACCATGGCCGAGTGGCTGGGCTGTGAGGCCATCGTGCGGCAGAGGGAGCGGGAGTCCCATGCAGCCGCCCTGGCCAAGTGCTCATCAGGGGCCAGCCTGGATGGTCACCTGCACCGGATGATGCACCGGGACTCCACCATCAGCAATGAGGTGATGGGCGGTCACCTGGAGCAGGGGACGGGGTGTGAAGGCCGGGCTTGCTCCACCAGGCTGTGGTAGGAACGGTGAGGGCGGGGTGTCTGGAGCCCTGAGACAGTCTCTCTCCTAGTTTGGGGTGGAAGGTGACTCTGGAGGCTGATAGACCTGAGTTTGAACTCCAGCTCCACCATTTTTTAGCTCTGGGGCCTCAGGTCAGCACCCATGCTTCTGGGCCTCAGTTTCCCCATCTGTCAAATGGGAATAATCATTTAAGGGGGAAGTTTGTGTGCAGCTTAAATGAGATAGTGTATGTAAAGCACCTACCATAGTGCTAGACTTCTGTTTATTCAACAAATGCTTATTGAGTGCCTACCATGTGCCAGGTACTGTTAGGAATGTTCTGGAATATCAGGAATACTTCAGTGACCAAGTCAGACATATGTATTGTCACAGAGTCTCCAGTTTAGTACCCCAAAGCAGGAGCTGAGAAGAAAGTTAATTCTCTTCACTAGTAATGTATCAGCCATCAATTGCCACGCTAATACTGCATAACAAACAGCCCTGAACATCAATGGCTTCCAACAACACACATTTCCTTTTATTCATGAGTCTGTGGGTCAGCAGGTTAGTTCTGAACTCTGAAGGTCAACTAAAAGTTTTGTTGACCTTCACAGGGCTCTCTCACATACCTGGGGTGACTCAGCTCTGTTCCACGTCTCCTTGTCCAGCAGGTTAACCTGGGTGGTACGTTATCACAGTGAACACAGATCATAAAGAGGCATACACAAGCTCTTTTGCAGGCTCTACCCTGGCAACTTTGCTAACATCCCATTGGCCAAAGGTCACATGGCCAAGCCTATCATCAGAGTAGGCAGGAACTAGAAGTTGTAGGGCAAAAAGCACTTATATATACAGAGAGGGAGTAAAAAAAATTGAGCCATTCCTACAGCAGGTTACTCTGAGTTGAACTAAAATGTTAGCCAGAAGTCTCAAGTGCAGAGCAGTTGAAGGTGGAGTTTTCTGGTTGCAGGGGTGGGAGGTAGAAGCCCAGGGGCTGGTGGAGCCTCTGAGAGGCTCCGGGGAGCAGAGGGTGAGACCCCATCACGTTCATTTGCAGGTAGGAACCTGAGGGCTTGAGAGGGGACTTGCTCAAGTCAGAGAGAGAAAGCTAGACTTCCCAGCTCCCAGCCCAGCAGCCCCCTGAGCCAGTGCAGGCGCCCTGGGCCGGGTGAAGCAGCCTCACCCGTGCTCCCTCCTGCTCTCTCTCCCCCAGTCCTCCCAGAGCTGCAGTTCTGGCCACCAGAACATCCGCCTGCAGAGCGACTCCAGCAGCAGCACACAGGTGACCTTCCTCGGCCACGCCCCTCCCCACCATCCTCCCTGCAGCCCGGAGTAATGGACTTGGATGCCCATCATCCCCGGGTCACCTATGGTTTACCTGTGTTAGCTTTTATACTAGTATTAAAGATTGAGTTTTTAATTACGTAAGTAACATATAAATCTATTTTCTCTGTAAAAAAAATTAAAATATTGCAGAGAAAGCTAAATTTGGCTTTGACCATCCTTAAGCCCCGCTTGCCCTCCCCAGAAATACTGCTGCCAGTTGGCTGTGTGTCCTTCCAGCCCCTCTGTAGGACTTCACACTCACACACACGTAGACAGTGCACTGCAGTGTTTGGTAGTCTTAACATTTCCACATAAGCACCAGGGTATGTACTTATCGTTCAACAACTTTCCACTTCATGCAATGAAAAAAGGATGTTATTTCAGTCTTACTCATTAAAGAAAAAAGCGAAGTGCAAAAAGTTCATACTATGCCACTTTTTGTGTAAAAAGAAGAAATGTTAATATGTGCATGTATTTGCCTCTGTTTTCAAAAACAATGGAAAGATGAGCTGGAAACTAAGCAAAGGGTTACCCTACAGAGGTGGGGGCAGGGAATGAAGCTACATTTCCCTGAATATTCCGTTTTCTAGTTTTGACTTTGGAAGCAGGTGAATTATTTTTTACATAATTTAAAGCAGTTCAATCAAGAGACATTAAAAAACATACATTTGAAACTAACAGTAAATCAAGTTGGTGACGTAACCATACGAGAAGAAATATTTCCAGTGACATGGTCTTACACTGTTTGTCCTTGATGAAATGTACTCACAGGACACAAAGAACCACAAATAGACCTTTGAGATGTATTCTGGACATTTTCCCAGAGCATTTTATGTGTAGATGACCCTTGAACAACACGGGTTTGAATTGTGCAGGTCCACTTATATATGAATTTGTTTTTATAAATATGTACGGTACTGTAAATATGTTTTCTCTTATGGTTTTCTTTTTTAAATATATTTTATTCATTTTAGAGAGAGAGGGAGAGATAGAAACATTGATGAGAGGGAGACAGCCATCAGCTGCCTCCTGCATGCCCCCTGCCTGGGGCCCCCAGGCACATGCCCTGATCCGGAATCGTACCAGTGACCCGTTGGTGAATGGGTGATGTTCAACCAACTGAGCCATGTTGCCCGGGCTCTTATGGTTCTCTTGAGAACATTTTCTCTCCTCTACCTTACTTTATTGTAGGGATACAGTGTATAGAACATGAAAATGTGTTAACCGTTTAATTGGTAAGGCTTCAGGTCAACAGTAGGCTATTAGTAGTTAAGTTTTGGGGAGCCAAAGTTATATGTGGATGTTTAACAGTGTGAGTGGTCGATACCCCTAACTCCAGCATTGGTTAAGGATCATCTGTGCATCTAACTACTTTTGAAAACTGATCCATAATAGTCAATCACATGGATAGAGTATGCTTTGTTCAGCCCGTTCCTTATGTTGCTAATATTTTACTTAAATTATGTGCACATAAGTTTGTGTGATGACAAGTATTCTCCTTCCATTTGAATTCCTTCGTAATCCCTCTGCAGAGTCAACTGCAATGCTTCCTTGTTTCTTTCTGGATTGTTCTATGTATTTTCATGGGCATAGGTCACTTTTTATTCTTCACAAATGGGAGCATGTATTACATCTTGTTCCGCCTCACTCTTTTTGCTGACTGTGTAGTACTCCATCACATGAATGTTCTGGATTTGAACCAATCCTCTGTTGATGAGTATTGAGGTTATTGCTGGAAACAGCACCAGTGTCCATCCTAGTCCATCTGTCCTTGTGCACCTTGTCTTCAGGTGTTCGAGTCTGTGGATGAAGTGGAGCAGGTGGAGGCAGAGGGCAAGTTGGAGGAGAAACAGCCCAAGATCCCCAATGGGAACCTGGTGAATGGCACCTGTTCCCCGGACTCTGGCCATCCCTCCTCCCACAACTTCTCCTCTGGCCTCTCAGAGCACTCGGAGCCCAGCCTGAGCACGGAGGACGGTGTCATGGACGCCCAGCGCAGTGCCTCCCTGGTGCTCCGACCTGGGGACAGCAGCGTGGATGAAGGGCAGAGCAGCGAGGCCACCACCTCCCGGGATGAGGCTCCCCGTGAGGAGCTGGCCGTGCAGGACAGCCTGGAGAGTGACCTCCTTGCCAACGAGAGCATGGACGAGTTCATGTCCATCCCCGGCAGCATGGACGTGGCTCTGCCTGAAAAGGAGGGCACCCCGATGGAGGGCTGGGGGGGCGGCGAGGTGGAGAAGGGTAGCCAGGTGGACAGTGAGGACAACCTCTCCGAGGAGCCTGAGATGGAGAGTCTGTTCCCTGCCTTGGCTTCTCTGGCCGTGAGCACTTCTGCCAACAACGAGGCGTCCCCTGTGTCATCCAGCGGTGTCACCTACTCCGTAAGTGTCTAGAATTCTCCTCTCAGTTTTCTCCAGCTGCGGTAGGAGGAGTACACCCCAAACCTCGGTTATCCAGATGGCCTCTGGTTCATTGCATTTTCCACATCATGGGGGGTTCACTGTGGAAACCCAGTTGGGGAGACGGTGATAAAATACTTAACACAGGCTTTGCAGTCAAGCCGTCCTGGGTTCAAAGTGACCAGCTTAGACGGGCCACTTTACCTTTCTGAGCCTCATGTCCCTGCCTGTCTTCCTGAGTTGTTTTCAGAGCTACTGAGTCAGGTCCTGTGTGCCTCGCACTTGGTGGACACTCGGTCAGTAGCAGTCTTGGTGATGAGCATCTTGACTTAGGTCCAGTATCTCCTTTTTTCATCTTTATTGTTGAGAGTATTACTGATATCTTTTAAATATTCAAGTTTGCTTTCTTGCAAACAAAAAGTCCAAGCCACAGGAGGTCAACCGCAAGGAAGGTTTCTTTTGTGTCGATTTTCCTTCAAGAACTTATTTCCATCAAGGATACACATGCCCTGTTGGAAAGAGTCAAACACTGAGACAAGGCTGGATACGAACACCGGGAGTTATCTGTCCCACCGGCCCCAGATTGCCCTTCCCAGAGGCAACAGTACTTACTCACTCAGCCCAGATTACCTGGTGTTTACCCCCATGTCTGCAAATAACATGCTTGTATTGCTACTACTTGATCTTCTTTTAGTTTTTTTCAGTTTTAGACATCGTGCATTGACTCCCAGCTACGGAAGCAGAGGGTTTAGTCCTCTTCTTCCCCACCCCACATCCTTGCCACATAAGCGACACCGTTCCCAACCTGGACATCCAGTAGAGTTCAGTATTATATTAGTATATATTAGTATAGCATATGTCATATATTAGTTAATGACTGTCAGTAGTTTGCATTATAATAATATATGTGCACCATTTAGGCAGCTGTATTTTTTTTCTTGCAAAAATTGTGATTTCCTTAAATGTTTTCATTTTCTTTCTTCTTCTTTTTTTTTAATCCTCACCCAAGGATATATTTTCAAATATCTTCAGATAGAGTGGGAGGGGGAGAGAGGAAGAGAGAGAGAAACATCGACGTGAGAGAGACACATCCACTGGTTGCCTCCTGCATGACCCCTGCCAGGGCCGGGGACCAACCACAACCAAGGTATGTGCCCTTGACCGCAATGAACCCGGCACTCATTAGTCCACGGGCCGATCTCTAACCGCTGAGCCAAACCGGCCAGGGCTCTGCTTTCTTTTTCTTAATGTACTACCCATGTATTGTTAATTCACTCCCAAGTCTCTCCTGAAACATTCTTGGAACTTTCCCCGTTACATTATGTGAGGCCTAGGTGGAAGGTAGATTCCTCAAAAGAGGGTTTTCTTTAGCTTCTTCCTGGTACCCAGGGTCTTCCTGAGCAGAAGCAGCCTGAGGGCACTCTCATTTGGATTCCGTGCTGTTCAGTCTGCCTGGCTAGCGGGGATTTGTTACGTAAGTCACCACCCGATCTGAGTGTCAGGTATCCAGGGAGATGTCTTCTGCACCTAATTGGCCCCCGTGTTTAAGGTCGGCAGTTGTCCTTGAGGCCCCAGGATGTTAGTGTTTCTGGTTTTCCCTCTTCGGGGTCCCGCCCTAATGCGGAAAGTCTCACGAGACCCCTAACCTTCAGGGTGGGGGGACCACAGCACCACGAAGTCCACGCTTATGTCTCCCGGTTTTGACAGCTTCCCTCAAGGCAAAAGCCAGCTTCAGTATTTTCTTGCATTTTGGGGTTCACTTTGGCCTCTAAATGCTCTTCTTGCCACACCATTGGGCCGTTTCCTCAGGACTGTTGGGTGGTGAGGTCCAGCGTGTTGCCAGAGTGGACTTCGTTCAGTCTTCCGTTCTTCTTGCCGCTTCAGCAGAGGGGCAGACTTCTGCCCCGGTTATCACTCTCTCTGGGTTTCCTCATCTACAAAGCAGGAGTAACAAGTCAGCGCACCTCGTAGGATTGTTATTTTATCAAAGGAAAACATTAAAAGAATATTTATCACACAAAGATGAAGGGCTTTTTTAGAAAATGACAACAACAAAACCAAATCAAACACCCAGCTGGTCCAGGTTAGGGTGTTCGTATGGTGACGACAGGAGAGGGTCAGGAGGAGGAGGGAGACTCGGGCAGCCTCACTGAGGGGCTGGGGTGTGACTTCTTTCGTTCCCCACTGTGGCCGGCAGCCGGAGCTGCTGGACCTGTACACGGTGAACCTGCACCGCATCGAGAAGGACGTGCAGAGGTGCGACCGCAACTACTGGTACTTCACGCCCGCCAACCTGGAGAAGCTGCGCAACGTCATGTGCAGGTGGCTGGCGCGGGGCAGGGCTGCGTCTGTGGGGTCTGGTGGGGATGGCAGAGTGGGGTCTGTGGGGATGGCAGAGTGTGGGCTCCGGGGACCTCATTCCAGCCCACAGTAATGACAGTAACAGGACGTTACTTACTATATACACCAGACTCTATCCTGAGCCCTTTACTGACTTCGTCTCACTTAATCCTCACAACAGGCCTATGAGATAAGCAGTAGCCCCTTTTATAGGTCAGGAAATGGAGGTTCAGAGGGATACCCCGTTGCTCAGAGTTTCTCCAGCTGGGCAGTGGCTGAGCGGGAACCCATCCTCCCATTATTCGGGCTCTAGAATCTGTGCTTTATCTCATTAAGCCAGGATCTGGAGCTGCTTATTACTTTTCATTAAAATTTACTTTTATTCAGAAAAATATGGAAGTAACCCATGCTCATGAAAAGCCTAAGTCAGCCTAGGAAGCCAGAAGGGCATAGGTATAAAGAGAAACTTCTTCCACGTTCAGTCATCAATTCCGCGCGCCCAGAAGAAGTAACTGCTGCTAATACATTAGGGCCATTCCTCCAAAGCTCTATATAACATACAACATATGGTATATTATGTGATATATAATAGCGTGCATGTTTTAAAGTTTAAAACCTTATACTACGAACTGTTTCTCTACAACTTGCTTTGTATATTCGGTAATACACCCTGGCTTCTTTCCAGGCTGCCCTGACTTGGGTTTGCAAACTACCGCTATGGCCGTGGGCCAGTTTCAGCCATGACTTGTTTCTGTACATAAAGCTTTAGTAGAACCCAGCCATGCCTGTTTGTTTACATATGTCTATGGTAGCTTCTGTCGAGCTGAGTAGTTGAGACAGAAGATATGGCCTCAAAGCTGAAGTGATTGTTATCCTGACCTCTCAGAAGAGCTTTACTAACCCCTGCTCTAATTCAGTCTTACTAATAAACAAGCACTACCACTTAACTATCCTTGCTTACCATCCCCCAAGCAATCACTGCCTCTCAAAACTTAGTTTAGGAGATACAAATACAATCAGCTTCAATGTAACATACTAGTGTTACATTGAAATGAAAAAGTGTTGGTGGAGAAGGAAGGATAGGCTGATTGTTGCCTGGTTATGGCATTGGGAAAAATCACGGAAGGCCCCACAGAGGTGGTGACAATCGAGAAGGCCTTTGACAAAATTAGGAGAAACTGAAGAAACCATTTGGCCTGCAGGTTAGAAGCTTATACTGTGGGGTGAGGTTGCCTGGGTTTGAATCCTGCCCCTGTCATTTGTTAGCCGTGTGCCTCTGTGCATGTCACTTACCTCTCTGCGCCTGTCTCCATCTGTGAAGTGGGATAATAACAGTTCCTTTTTTGTATGATTATTTTGAAAATTAAATGATGCAATATATGTATAGTGGGCTGAGTAAATAGTAAATGCTCAGTAAATATTGGCCATGATTATTAAGGGGCAGATGCAAATTCCAGACCAAGGGAGCTTTGTGTGTACAAGTTAAATACCTGCGTGTGGCCAGAGAGGAAGTGCTAGGAATGATGGGCGAGGCTGTGAACATGGGTTGGGAAGAGACTATAAATGCCTTGTACCCCCAGTTAAGGAGTTTGGACATCATCCTGTCACACAGTGGAAGACTGAGGGATTTTGAGCATGCAGTGACCTCCTTGAGCTGGACTTGAGGAAGGTCATCCTGGTGGCTGAGCATGTGATGTTTGCAGAGTGAGACTAGGGATGGGGACGCAGGCAGCAGGTTGGGGGAGTGGTGCGGGAGGGAGGAGGGGCTGCAGCAGAGGCGGTGAGGAAGAGCGGGTTGGAGGCAGGTTGCGGTGTCTGCACTGAGCCCGGTGTCTCTCTCGTAGCTTCATCTGGCAGCACATTGAGATCGGCTACGTCCAGGGCATGTGTGACCTCCTGGCCCCACTGCTGGTCATCCTGGATGACGGTGAGTGTGTTCTTCCTACAGTCTCTTCCTACTGCAAAGGACGGAGGTGAACTTCACCGTGTGTTTGTACAGGTGCTCAAAACACTGTCTGGTGAACACATCAAGGTCCTCATAAAATTAAAAGTCCTCTTTTTCCATGATGGCCAGTCATTCATGCCAAGTGCCCACCACCCAACCAGGCCTTTGCTAGCCACTGATTTGTACAAACATGCAAGAGAACAAAGAAGAACCCAGACCCAGATGGCTTCCCTGGTGAACTCTACCAAACCCTTAAAGAAGAGTTAATAACAACCCTTTCCAAAAATGGAGTAAGAGAGAACACGTCCCAATTCATTCTATGAGTCCACTTCTTATATGAGGACCCATTGGTGCCCTGATACCAATACCAGACAGACATCACAAGAAAAGAAAACTACAGACCAGTATCCTTTATGAATATAAAGGCAAAAATCCTTAACAAAATATTAGCAAACTAAATCCAGCAAGATATAAAAAGGATTATATACCATGACCAAATGGGATTTATTCTCAGGAATGCAAGCCTGGCTCACTGGTTTGAAAATCAATTATTGTAATTCACCATATTAATAGAATAAAAGACCAAAAAAACACACGGTCATCTCAACTGACAAAGAAATGGCATTTGGCAAAATTCAATACCCTTTCATGATAAAAACACTCAACAAGCTAGAAATAGAAGGAAAATTCTTTAACATGGAAGAAAGTACATATGAAAAACCTACAGTTAGTTCACACTCAAAAACAGACGGAAGACTGCTTTCCCCCTAAGATCAGGAATAAAACAAAGATGTTCTCTTTTGTCACTAACGGTTCTAATAAGGCCAGATATGGAGGAAAAAGACATTAAAAAGTAAAACCATCTCTATGCAGAAGACACGATCTTGCCTATAGAAAAATCCTAAGAAATCATCAAAGTACATTAGAACTAATAAACAAGTTCAGCAAGGTTGTGGGATACAAGATCTCTATACAAAAGTCAGTTGTATTTCTATACAATTGGAATGAACAGTTCAAAAATAAAATTAAAAGAATTCCATTTGCAATAGCATCTAAAGGAAGAAAATACGTGTGAATAAATTTAAGAAGTGGATGGTTTGTAATTCAAAAACTAAAAACCATATTGAAAGAAATTAAAGATCTAAATAAATGTCAAGATCTCATGTTCATGGATCAGAAGACCTGTTACTCGCTGTTAAATTGGCAATACTCTCCCAGTCTATGCAATGTCTATAAAAACCCCAGCTGCCTTTTTTTTTTTTTTGCAAAAATTGACAAGCTGACCCTAAAATGCATACAGAAATTCAAGAATAGTGAAATCAATTTTGAAAAGAGGACACACACTGTGCAATTTCAAAACCTACCACAACATTACAGTAATCCAGACGGCATGGTACTTCCACAGTGAGGGACATGTGGGTCAATGGAAGAGAACTGAGAGTATGGAAAGCAGCCCGCACACTTGTGGTCATTTGATTTTGACAATGTGCCAAGACATTTCAACTCAGTGCGGAAAGAATGTCTTCAACATGTGATACTGAAAGAACTGGATGTCCACACACAAAAGATTGAAGCTGGATCCTACCCCACCCTGTGCACAAAAATACTCGCTCCAAATGAATCATAAACCTAAATGGACAAGTTAAAACTATATACTTATTAGAAGAAAACATAGGCGTTAATCGTTGCGACCTTGAATGAGACCGTGGTTTCTTAGATATGACACCAAAAAGATAAAGCAACAAAATGAAAAATAGAGAAATTGGACTTCTATCAAAATTTAAAACTTCTGTGCTTCAAAGGACATCATCAGGAAATGAAGAGAGCCCAAAGAATAGAAGAAAATATGTGCAAATCATGTATACAATAAGGGGCTTGTATCCAAAACATATAAAGAACTCTTACAGTTCAACAATAAAATGATAACCCAATTAAAATGGGCAGAGGATTTGAATAGACATTTCTCAATAAACTAGATGTACACAGGAATAGTAAGCATGTGAAAAGATGCTCTAATTCTCATCAGTAGGGAAATATGACCCAGACCATGAGGTCCACGTCACACCCTCAGATGGCGAGAATAGAAACAATGTAGCGCAGTGTTGGAGAGGCTGTGGAGAAAGCGGAGCCCTGGCATTGCTACTGGGACTGTACAGTGGTTCAGCCACTTTGCAAACAGCCAGGCAGTTCGTCGCAATGTTGAACACTGAGTTACCCTATGACCTAGCAATGCCATTCATAGGTATGTCCCCAAAACATGTGTTCATACAGACTTGTAGGTGAATGTGAAAGAAGCCAGTCACAAAGACCACGTAGAGTATGATTCACTTACACGAAATGCCCAGAACAGGTAAGTCTGTAGAGACAGAAACAGACGGGCTGACACGCAGTGGCGCAGAGGGATGACCGCGCATGTGCACAGGGTATCTTTTGGAAGGACAAACGTTCTGAAACGAGTGCTGATGGTTACACAGCGAGAGTGTGCTAAAACCACCGAGTTGTCCATTTAATAGGGAAATGTATGGTGTGCAAACCTCAAAAAGGCTGTGAAAAACAGAGACTGTAACTCCCCACTCTTCAGACGTGGACGTTGCATAGTGACTTCCTTCCAGGAGTTCAGTGTGGAAGGGGCGGAGTGACAGAGACTCACTGTGAGTGGGGAAGGCCAGCTGACCGAGGTCTCCATTAGCTGTCACGCACGCTGCCGGCTCTGCCCTTTGATGTGCGTGACTGGAATGGCACGTGGCCTGGTGGTCTTTCCCCCGGTAGCCCAGAATCCCAGGCTTGTCATGACAAAAACATCAGACAGGTTCCAGTGGGAGGCATTCCATAGAACACCTGACCAGTACTCTTCAAAACTGCCAAGGTCGCCCTGGCCGGTTTGGCTCAGCCATTAGAGTGTCCGCCTGTGGTCCGGAGAGGCCCGGGTTCGGTTCCCGCTACGGGCATGTACCTCGGTTGCAGTTTGTCCCCGGCCCTGGTTGGTCGTGCGGGTGGCAGCCACTCGATGTGTCCCTTTCACATCGATGTTTCCTTCTCTCTCTCTTCCTCTCTCTCCCTCCCACTCTGTCTGTACAAAAAATGGAAAAATGTCCTCGAATGAGGATTAAAAAAAAACAAAAAACAAAAACTGCCAAGGTCATCAGAAGCCAGGAAAGCCAGGGCGTCTCGCATAGTCAGGTGGGACCTCAGGAGACATGACAACTCTGTGTAATGTGTCACCCCGGCTGGGCTCTTGGAACAGTTAAGGGGCATTAATTAAACACACATACACACACAAATTATGGACTTTAGTTAATATATTATCAGTGGGCCATCAATGATAACAAATGTACCATTCTTATATAAGACATTAGTGTTAGGGGAAACTGGGTGTGTGGGGCCTATGGAAATTCTCTCTAGTCTGTTCTCAATTGTTCTGTAAATCCAAACTGTTCTAAAAAATAGTCTTTTGAAAAATGAATGAGATCCTACTGTCCCTTGGGAAATCTTCTCATAACTTTCCCCAACATTACTGGGTGTTAAGAGAAAAAAGGTACCCTTTTCAAATACATTTCTAAAACACTGGGTTAAACAATATGGAACAGATTTCTTTCTTCTTTTTTTTTAAATTGATTTTAGAGAGAGGAAGGGAGAGGGAGAGAGAGATGGAAACATGGATGAGAGAGAACATCGATTGGCTGCCTCCTGCATGCCCCCCCACTGAGGATCGGGCCCACAACCTGGGCATGTGCCCTGACCGGGAATCGAACCAGTGACCTCTTGGTGCATGGGTCGACGCTCAACCACTGAGCCACACCGGCCGGGCTGGAACAGATTTCTTTATTGCAGGACTTCTCAGAACTGCTTCTTAATATGTGTGACTCTCAAAGCAGCTTTTCTTGACGTCATTTCACGTTGAGACCTCTGGCTGCGCGGGCAGTGAGCGGTATCTCCTGTGTTCTCTCCCTAGAGGCCCTCGCCTTCAGCTGCTTCACGGAGCTCATGAAGAGAATGAACCAGAACTTCCCCCATGGCGGTGCCATGGACACACACTTTGCCAACATGAGGTCACTAATCCAGGTAGGATTCAGTCCTGTTCCACAGTGTAACTTGTTCCAACTCAACCCAACGGACCCCAGGTCGAGATAATAGTCACGCCTAGTTTAACTCAACTCAGTCCTGCCTAACTCAGTCCAGTTCAACTCAACTCAACCAGCTAAGTTAAACTCAGAAAACTCAGTTCCGCTCAACCGTACCAGTTCGCACAGTTCTACCGGATTCATTCTCACTGAGCACTTACTCAGTCAGACTGTGACCACACAGTGGAGGAGACGTGGCCCCCGCCTTACAGGGTGTCTGGTTGCATTGGGCCGTCTCCTCAAAGTGACGTTTGGGTATGTTTTGTGAGTGTGTGCATGGGCGCACACGCACAGCGTTACAGAGATGTCGTTCACATGCCATAAGATGTTCCCTTTTTAAATGGACGATTCAGTCATCTCTAGAATATTCACAGTTGAGAAGCCATCATCACAAACTAATTTCTGAACGTTTTCATCCTCCCAGAAGGCAACTCCATACCCAGTAACATTAGTTCCTCTCCCCGGCCCCTGGCTGCCATAAGTCTACTTGGTCTGACGGTTGTATCTGTTCTGGACAGTCGAGTAAATGGAACGAGACATCCTGTTGCTGTTTGTCAGGCTTTCCTTCGGGCCCGTCCTCACGGACCAGCCATGCCGTAGCATGGAGCAGCGCGTCCTTCCGTTGCCGGGCGACGCGGCACTGGGTGGACGCGCCGGTTTTGTTTCTCCAGTCATCTGCTGGACGTCTGGGTGGTTTCCGCTTTCTGGCTGTTGTGAACAGTGTTGTGTGTTCATGTACAAGTTTCCGTGGGGGTCTGTCTCGAAGTGGAGTGGCAGCCACACCGCCCTCCATCCCTCCCAGCAGCGCCCCAGGATTCCCGTTGCCCTACGTCCTTGGCAGCACTCTGCTGTCTGTCATTTTATCACAGTCATGCCGGTGGGTGTGAAGTGGCATCTCATTATGGTTTTGATTTGCATTTTTTCAATGACTCAAGACACTGAGGATTTCTCATGTGCTCATGGGTCATTTGCGTGTCCGTTTTGGAGACACGACTGAGTTGGGCGGAGCTAGGTTGATTCCCACTTCGAATCATTTGCTCGTTTTTCACTCTGCCTGATGGGTAAGGGCTGGCTGGTGCCCGTACGAGGAAGGACCCTCGCTTCCTCACCGCCCACCTCCCTCCCCTGGCAGATCCTGGACTCGGAGCTCTTCGAGCTGATGCACCAGAACGGGGACTACACTCACTTCTACTTCTGCTACCGCTGGTTCCTGCTGGACTTCAAGCGAGGTACGGGCTCCGCGACAGAGCCAGGGGGGACCGCAGAGCGAAGCCAGTGGTGGAGCAGCACCCGCTTGCTGAGTTCTGATACGGGTTCACCCACCTTATCTCGCAGTGACACCATGCAGTAGGTATCGGTACAGTCCCCATTGTACAGGTGAGGAAGCTGAGGCTGAGAACAATCGAATTCAGAGCGAGGAGGAACAGAGCCAGGATCCAGCCCCCTCTGCCAACCTCCCAAGGCCAGTTCCCTCCCACTCTGTCACGCTGCTTGTCAGGAATGGAGGACTCTGGAGCCCGCGGACACGTTTCACGTGGGCCTTAGAGATGACGCATACACAGCATGTTGCTACTGCGCAAATTTGGGGTGATGCTAAGAATACTGTCTAACACGTGGAGGTGTTCATTAAGAGCTGAGCCACGTCTGTGTGTTATCCTGGTAGTCTACTGCTGTCAGCAGCGCCCCATTTAGAGATGAGGAAAGAGAGTAACTAGCCCAGGGTCACCTTGCTAGTAAGTGATGGAGCAGGGGTTCAGACTGAGACTATTGGACATAGAAAGTCTTGCTCTTAACCATGACTCTATTCTATCCCTTCACTAGGCCCAGAGGCAGCAGCCGGCTCTGTGTTCCGGGGGAAGGGGAGATTCCCCCATGGGTGCTAACGGAGGTGGAGGATACAGGGAGAGAGGGGGACACTGGACAAGGGGCAGAGCAGGGTCAGGTCGGTGTCAGTGAAACCTGCACATGCTCAGTCCCTCCACTAGCAGAGTGTCAGAGCTGGAAACTTACAACACACCTTTTTTGCTCAGCCTATTCTGCAGATGGGGAGACTGAAGCTCCTGACGGTCAGATGACAGTCCAGGTCTCCCAGCGCCTGGCCTGAGCTCTGCCCGCTGCTCCAGGACAGAGGCCCAGAGCACAGCTGGCCTGGGATTGTCCCAGAGGCGGCAGCACCATGAGCTCTGTGGCTGACTCTGTCCTCATGTGTGCGCGTGTTGCTGTCTCGGCAGAACTCGTATATGACGATGTCTTCTCTGTCTGGGAGACCATCTGGGCGGCCAAGCACGTCTCATCCACCCACTACGTCCTGTTCATCGCGCTGGCCCTGGTGGAGGTCTACCGTGACATCATCTTGGAGAACAACATGGATTTCACGGACATCATCAAATTCTTCAATGGTACCCCCATGCCCAGGGTCTCAGCTGAGGAGTGTGGGCTTCCAGAGGCCCCTTCCTGGGCCCTCAGGCGGGATGGAGGTTTCCCGAGATTGACATACAGCGAAGGGGATGGAGGGGGTTCTGCCCACTCCTTGGGTCTCTTCCCAGTGGATGAGTTGACATATTGTAATGCTGAGGGTGCGTTTTTCTCAGGGATGTGGCAGGAGGGGCAGGGTGGCCCTGGCCAGTTTGGCTCAGCGGTTAGAGCATCGGCCTGAGGACCAGTGGTCATGGGTTCGATTCTGGTCAAGAGCATGTAATTCGGCTGTGGTTCGTCTCCGGCCCTGGTCAGGGTCCTGTGGGAGGCAGCCAGTTGATGTGTCCCTCTCACATTGATGTTTCTTTCAGTCTCCCTGTCTCACACTCTGAAGATAAATGGAAAAATATCCTCGGGTGGGGATTTAAAAAAACAAAACAAAAACGAAGGAGCATGGGTGTTAAAATCAAGCCCCGGGCAAACCCTGGCTCTGCCATTAGCTGCGTCAGTGGCAGGTCACCCCCCTCTCTGAGCGCCGGCGTGCTCGCTGCGGGATGGGCGACAGTCTGCTTCAGAGGGTCGCTGTGTGGAGGCCGGCAGGGCGTGGCCGAGGAGCCAGATGAGGGGTGCACTCTGATCCCAGCTCTGCCTCTCGGCAGCTGGGGGGACATGTCTCTCATGTCTCTAGGATTCAGATCTTGGGGGACGAAAGTTGCCCCAGGGCGTCAAGCACAGAGATGTCAGGAGAATTAGGTGAGAGGTGAATACAGCCCTCCTGTGATACCTGGCCCGGACGAGGGCCCCCAGGCAGGAAGCTGTTGTTACTATTACTACTGTTTATGATGTTTTTTTAAACTAGAGATGGTTTTGGAAAAAGCCATCTGTGACCTTCCCTTGGAAACATTATTGTTTTAATAAGTTTTTTAATTTTAGAATCATTATAAATTTACAGAACTAAGTTTCAAAGATATATAAAGTGTTCCTAATACCCTTCGCCCAGCTGCCCCTGATGCTCATGTCTCTGGGATTCAGATCTTGGGGGACAAAAGTTGCCCCGAGGCCTCAAGCACAGAGATGTCAGGAGAATTAGGTGAGAGGTGATTACGGCCTGTCCTGTGATACCTGGCCCGTACGAGTACTAACAGGTGTGTGCAGGGTGGGACGCGGCCCACCTCCTCGAACCTCGGAATCGGTGGGACATCACGCCTCGGTTCCCGTGCCAGGTGACTTTCACATGCTGCTTGCTCCGGGTCACAGCGCGGCCGTGCAGAGCTCGAAGTCACCCTAGGAGCTCAGTGTAGCTGTGAACTCACTCGTGCTAGCGCTCCACACCTGCGGGGCACTCCGGGGTTTCCTCAGCATTTTTCTGAGTTCACAGTCGTGCTCGGAGGTGCCTGTGCACCCAGTTTGGGTACCCTGGTCTTACTGCCTCTTTCCTCTACTAAGTGACTTCTTTATGATGTATGTCTGAGTTCACGATATTCTGCCTTCAAGGTCTGAGCATTTTGTGTGCTCTTGATAAAATTGTTTGCTCTCTGTCCTCCTCTCCCACCTGTTGCTTCCTTCCCTTCATTCTCCTGAGCACCTACTGTGTGCCCTCTTGGCTTCCTGAAAAGCTCTCAGGCATTGTATTTGCAGGAAGGGGGTGGGAAGACCTAACATTTTTAAGCACACACTGAACCAACAGCATCTCGTTTGCTCTCACAGTTACAGTCCCATTTTACAGATGAGGAAACTGAGGCCCAGAGGTGCCGGCCTTGCTTCCAGAGCCCCTCTGGGGATGAAGCTGGATGACAATGAGGGAATGCCCCAGAGACCCCTGCGTGCTGGGGGTGTGTCCGAGGATGGACACGCGGCTCATGAGAGGTTGCCTTGTGCTCTTTCAGAAATGGCCGAGCGACACAACACCAAGCAGATCCTGAAGCTGGCCCGGGACCTCGTGTACAAGGTGCAGACTCTGATCGAGAACAAGTGAGGGCCGCCGCGTCCAGGCTGCCGCAGCAGAGCCGCCGCCTGCCTGTCCTGCCCTTTCCCTCCCGGCGCCCGGGAGCCAGGTCTTCGTGTTCGTTCGTGGACATGGACTTCTGTGCAGAGACTGCCCGACTGCGGCCGCCGGGCAGGTGGGGTCGAGGGGTTGCCCCTTGAGTTCAGCCTTACGTTTTCCTGTTTGACCAAAGATTGCCCGTGTCTGGGATTGTCCTTTGCGGCAGTTGGTGGTGGACGGAGGGAACTTCCTGGTTCGGGGCCTCGAGACTGGCCCCTCTCCCTTCTCTCCCCACCCCTCCACACCATCCTTCAGGGGAGACTCGGGCGGGGTTGTTCTGGACTTCGGAGTAGGAGAGGTCTGTGGGCTCCTCGCACCTGCGGGGCCTTCGGAGAGGTTGCGGAGCAGGGCTGGAGCCGGGTGGCGCAGGGTCTCTGCACTCGGCACTGCTCGCGTTTGGGCTGCGGCCTTTGCGGGGCATCCTGTGCTTTGTAGGATGTCGAGCAGCATCCCTCTACCTGCCAGGAGCCAGTAGTACCCTCACCCCCACCCCAGCTGTGACAGCCCACGTGTCCCCGTTGAGACCCATGGGGTAGAGGAGGGGCTGCAGTGTATCTCCCACCGGCTCTCTCTGCCCGAGCCACCTGGTCCTGGCTCCCTCCCATTTAGAAAAGGCGAACGGGAGGCCTGCACACCTCTCCCCTTGACTTTGGGATTGCGTTGGTTGTGTTATCTCGTTTTTCTCCTCTGCCTGACTCCGGGAGGGACTCCTTTTCCAGGAGGGTATCTTCCTGCAGGGCGGTGGAATCTGAGAAGTGTCTGCAGGTGTGAGACAGTCCCAGGCTCTTCTGGGATTTGCCCAGAGCCCCGCCTGGGGTAGGGCAGGATCCTCGGCCCCTCCCGCTCCCCCTAGGAAAGCCTGCCTCTCCTTCCACACATCTGGTCTGGTGCTGCAGGAGCGTGGAACGTGTGTGTGGGTGAAGCCACGTGGTCAGGGAGGCCAGCTTTTCCCCAAGTGCCCTTGCTCACTCAGGACAAAGGAGGAGGGAGACGGAGGTCAGCCAGGGTAGGTGTGTGTGACTTGCAGGGCGGCTGGGTCTAGAAGTGATTCCTGCTGTGTCGTCTTAGAAAGGGCCACCCATCCTCACACAGGTCCCTCACACAGGTCCCACTGGCCTCGGGAAAGCAGTCCGCGGCCTCTGTTCTGAGGATCCGGAACACAGCCGGGGGACTGTCCTAAGAATGGCAGATAGGTTTCAGAGAGGGCAGGGGACACATCAAGCACACTGAAGCGCTCAGGCAGAGGGTGCACTAGTCTGCCCACCCCACCCGAGCCAGCTGGGCCCGGGGATCCCAGCCTCATGCTGGGGAAGCCCTTCCCTCGGCCCAGCTCCTTCCAGTGCACCTGAGTCCCACCTCCCCAACGGGCCTGTGGGCAGAGAGGACAAGGCCCAGACGGCCCTTGTTTCCAAAGAGCGTGCATCTCCTCATGCCGATCCCCCAGCTTCCCGAGATGGGAGACAGTGTGCAAAAGTCCCCTCCGGAGAAAAGTGAATGTTGCCACAGAGCTGTTCATCACAGGGGACACTGTCAGCAGGCCCCAGGCCCCAGGCCCTCTGATTGTTATTTATTTTTGACAACTAGTCACAGCACAAGATTTCTCCTCGCCTTCTCTCGTGTTCCCGAGAACGTCCGTGGCTGTGGTTCGGAACAACTGCTATTTGTTCAGCTCTCTGTGCTATTCAGGTCTCCGTGTGTCGCGTGTGTCCTCGTGTCCCAGACTCGAGTGTGTGGGAGTCATTCTGTCTGTGGGGTGTCCTCCTTTTCTCAGTGTTACCAGCATATCTTGTAACTGTTTACTGAAGAGTTGTGTCTATATAGAGAGAAAAATATATATAAACAGAGAAATGTGTGAATCCGGGGTGTTTTTGTTTCTGTGTCTAAGGGAATTTTTTTTTAATTTGAAAGAAGGAAGCGTTTGTTTCCGAAGCCTCTGCCCTCCCGCTGCAGGGGCTCACGCCCAGATGGGGACAGACGCCCACCCAGCTGCCTGGTCTTTCCCGCCGGTCAAGGCAGGCCCCTCACTTTGTATCTCAGCTGTTCCCATAGGTGATGCTGTGTAACAGACCACCCCGAATCTAGTGGCTTGAAATAGACCTTTATTTAGCTTGTGATTCTGTGGGTCAGCAACATGGGCCGTGTACAGCTGGGAGGTCCCTCTGGTCTCGGCAGGACTTGTGTCTGTGATCAGCTGACCGCCAGCTGGGCAGCGGCCTCTGGCTGGCTGGCTGCTGGGGGGCTGTGGGGGGCTGGGCCGGGTCTCTTGTCCTCCAGCAGGCTGGCTCAGGCTTGTCTGCAGGCCCTGAGGGCAGTTTCCAGGACAGCGAGCAGAAGTGCGCAGGCGCTTGAGACCTAGGCTTGGAACTGGCATTAGTCACTTCTCCCACATCCTCTTGGTCAGAGTAAGTCACACAGCCGAGCTCAGAGGCAGAGGATGGGGAACAGGCTCCACTTCATGGACGGCTTTGGAAAATGACGTAGAAAGGGGTGTGGATACAGGCGGGGAAATCACTGGGCCATTTCGCAAACAGTGTACCATGTACCCCAAGATCCATGCACAAGGGGGGTCCCCAGATAGGGGTGATTTCCTGGTTGTGACCTCAGTTTCCCTGAGTTCCCGTCATACCCGGAGGAGGTAGGCAATGTTTCACACACTTCCCGTTTCACAGAAGGAGACACAGGCCCAGAGCGGTGACGTGGCTGCCTGAGGTCACAAGGAAGCCGCAGAGGTGGGGTCTGAACCTGGGTATGTGGTGACGTCATAGAGCTGTGATGGGGGCTCTTTTGGCTCCTCCTGAGAAATTTTTATTTGCCCATTTCTGGCATAAGGATGATTTTCTCAGTGTCGCTGGAGAAGCGGACGGTCCTCCCCGGGGCTTTGGTCGTGTGGGGCCCTCTGATCACCAGCAGCAGGCTGGCCAGGCCTGTGGTGAGGATGGCGGTCACGTAGCCCCAGCCTAGCTGGCACTGTCCGCTGCGGTACACAGAGGGGGCCCCGCAGGCCTCCTTGGCGAATGGGGAGGCCAGGCCGGCCGGGAAGACCAGCAGGCCCGCAGCGGTGGTGATGACTGGAGACAGCAACAAGGAAAACCAGTAGGCAGGTCAGAGGGCTCTGGCTAACCGTCCATCCCGGGACCCACTCTCTCACCCTCTTCCCCACCATCCATCCATTCGTTCTTATCACCAGCCTTTCTCTCCTTAAAAGTTGTGTTTATTCAAGTATAGTTGCCATTCAGTATTATATTAGTTTCAGGTGTACAGCATAGGGATTTGACATTTATGTATCTTACAGTGTGATCACAGTAGTCTGGTAGCCATCTGTCACCATGCCAAGTTAATGTCGTAATAACTCATCTTGCCTTTTATCCACTCAACTACCCTGCACCCATTTGTCCATCTACTACTCATCCATCCATTCAACCATATTCTGAGCTGCTCCCCTCTTCCATTCATATTCCAGTCTACCCATTTTCCTTATCCATTCATACACGAATAGATCCATCGTCCACTTACAGTTTATCCACCCACTCACCCACCCACTCATTCATTCACTCACCAGTCCACCCACTCATTCATCGGGACTGGCAGGTGCCGTGGCGGGCACTGATGATACTAGGAATTGGGCCGGCACCTCCTTACCTTAGACACCCCCCGTGCAGGAGAATCAGGTGAACCCTCGGCCTCCCTGGCTGCTCCTGGGCCAAACTGGCCTTGCCATTCCCTGCACATGCCCTGCTCTCGTCTCCATGCCTTTGCCCTGGTGATCCCACTCCCTGAAATGCCTTCCACATTTGCCTAACTCCCACCTGTCCTTCCAGACTCAGCTCAAGTAACACCTCCTCCAGGAAGCCTTCCTTACCATCCACCCGCCTGGAACTTTTCCTTGCACCCTGCGCGTATCCCTATTGTGTCAAATATCTGTTTGAGTTATAAATGCCTGATGTCCCCCGTCCCCACTAGCCACTGTGCAAGCCTAGGACAAGGACTGAATCTACAGTCATTGAGTCACCCAACACATAGCATCTATCATGTGCAAAGCACTGTGCTAGGTGCTGGTGATGTCGAGAGGGCTATATTCTTGCCCTCATGGAGCTGATGTTCTAGTGGAGAGAGACAAGAATCAGGAAAGCAGGTAAGAGGTTTGCGGTCGTAAGTGCTGTGCAAAGCATAAAGCCAGATAAGAAGGAGAATCTAGGGAGAGGGGAGCTCCTACCTCGAGGCCGTGGAGGACCTCACGGGGACAGTGCTATGTGAGCAGAGCCATCAGTGACACAGGGAAGAGGAGTGCAGACCTGAGAACAGAGACTTCCAGCCGCAGGAGCAGCAGAAAGCAGGCCAGGGTGGCCTGGGGCACGTTGAGCCTCGCAGAAGGCGTAGGAGGTGAGGTTGGTGAGAGAATGGGGGTTGACCAGGTGGAGCCTCATAGGCCACCATAAGGAGTTTGGACTTTGTGACAGTCAGTGAAGGGTGGGTAAACCTACCTGAGTGGCAGGGTCTGATGTCAGTTTTAATAGGACCCATTTGGCCAGTGTGTGGCAAACAGAGTCTAAGGGGCAAAGGTGGCAGCAGAGGGACCCGTGAGGTGGTTCTGATGCCGGTGAGAATGGTGGATAATTAACTGGGTGATGATTGCCACCAAAGCCTGGGCCAGATCATCCGGAGACCAGGGGTGAATAGAAAGAAGCAACCCTTCAGGCCAGATGCAAGCCTGCAGTCGCACAGCTTAGCAAATGGAACACGGGCTAGATTTCAGCACCTGTCCGCCCTCAGCTGGGCACCCTCGTGCAGTGTGCAGCCTGCCCGGCTGTGTGTGGTGGTCCGGGGAAAGATGATGCAGAGTGGATGGTAAGACAAATAAAAGGGAGAGACTGTTAGGACTGGCCCTAGCTGAGGGCAGGAGAGGGTGACGTTAAGGATATCCCCCCTCCCTTCTGGCTTGCTGAAGGACCAGGAACAGTCTACAATCAGTCCTAGGGTTTATCTCCAAGATTTGAGCCAGGAGGCCCGCCTCTGCTCACAGGTGTTTTTCTTTCATTCATCATTCATTCATTCCACAAACCCGTCTGCGATGCTAACAGTGCGACAGTGGGTTTACCTGCAGCTGCCTGCACCCCCGGCATTTTGCCACTGCCCCTCCTTGGGCACAGCTGTTTGGGGGCCAGGACCCAGGCCAGGAGGAGAAGAGCATTAACGGCCAACAGGAGCCAGCCTCCAAGGAGAAGTGCAGCGGAGACCTACCAGGAGGACAGAGGGGAGGATGCCGACTGCTGTTCTCACGTCATCCTACATGTAAACAAACTGAGGTCCCAGAGGTAGTCATTTGCCTTGGGGCACGTGGCTCATTAAGTAGTAGACCCAGGACTAAGACCTAGATCTACAATCACCATACCCTGTCTATACCGACCACCTGCTACATGGCGGGATCTCCAGGGGCACCTTTGTAGTTGCCAGTTTTGAAGGTGGTAAAATATCCCTTAGAGGTACTGGATTGGGGGTCCTGACCCATTGTCCCCGCTGTTGAATTGGGTACTGTGCATCATGACAGACTTCAACACCTTAGCTGTGGTTGTCCAACCCAGCAGTGCGGAGCCGGTGGCCAGGTGTGTGCTGGTGTGTACACTGCACAACTCTTAGGAGCTGCGTGGGGATCGTGATAGATTTGCATATTGATTACACAAAATCACCAGCAGGTGGCAGTATAGTATCCTGAAGAAGGGGCACCTTTTTTTACTGTGTACAAAGGTGCTACATGGGTTGACAGCTGCTTTTAGAGTCATCCTGGGTGTTTGCTAAAATGCAAAGAGCCAGACCCCACCCCACCTCTCCAGAGTCAGAGGCTCAGGTTGGAGGGGGGGGGTGCAGAACTTGGCTTTGTTTGGCTCTCGTGGGTTTGAGAGTCCCCCGAGGGCCCGGGTGAATTGATGAGCTGAGGACTCACCTTCCAGGCAGAGTCAGGAATATCATCCAGGGACCTGAAGATCCCACAGCTCTGGTTCCAGCTGTCACCTTGAGGCCAGGAGCAATAGGACAGGACACCGAAGGAGAAGGTGGGGGTCTGGAACCAGGCCGGGGAGAGGAGGCTGAAGGCCGAGAGGCAGGTCAGGGAGAGGAACAGAGCTGCCCACACGCTGCCCACCATCATGGAGTGTCAGTGACGCTGGGGGTCAATGAGCAAGGTTAGTGGTGGAGACCACCTGGGGCAAGAGAAATGGGGGCTTCAGAGGTGCCCCGCCCCAGCCAGGGATCTGGTCCTGTGTCAATGACCAGGTCATCAGCCTCCCTTCACCTTCATCATGCAGTGGAAGACGCTGAAAACTGGCATGGAAGGGGTTTGCCCCAACAGGTTCTGGAAGCAGAAACCCCAAATCTTAGAATAAGTGCTAGTGCTTAGACCTTAGAATAGTCCCACCCCACCTTGCATACCAGCATCACTGCTCCATGCAAGGTCCCTCTCGGTTCTGTCCGTTCGTTCGTTCATTCTGTGCCCACTGAGCCTTGTACTATCCAAGAGGGCTGCTTCTACCCAGAGGGGGCACCTTTTCTAAATCACAGAGATGCTGTTTCTAGCCACCAGCCCGCCCATCAACTCCTGCCAATCAATGACCATTTTACTCATTTCATGTGCACCCCACCCCCCAACCTGAGTCTTTTTGTTTGGAGGCATTTTTGCAAAATCAGTATTGATCAGTATGCATTATTTTTCATGTACGTAAATGACATTATTTTCTGTGCTGTGTTCTGCCTCCTACTACTTTGGGCACTAAGCATTGTTTTTAGGGTCAATCTGTGTGGCTGGGTACATGCCTGTTCCTTTTGTCTTGGTTTGATCCCTGGAGGCAGGTCCTGAGACGAGAGTTTGGATGCAAGAGTAGTTTACTTGGGAGGAGAAGGCAGCCAGTTAAGAGTGTGTTATGAATCAGCTCTCCCTGGGGGAGCACCTGGAGCTTTAAGAGTTGGGGTACAACCAGCACTTCAGAGTGATCCCTCCCGAGAGCTGAGGGAGGGGAGCTACAGTCTAACTCTTGCTGGCCATTGGTTTTTTATCCTCACCCTAGGACATTTTTTGTTTTTGTTTTTGTTTTTGCATTTATCTTCAAATAGAGCAGGAGGGAGATGGGGAAAGAGAGAGACAGAAACATTGATGTGAGAGACACATCGACTGGTTGCCATCCACACAACCCCAACTGGGGCTGGGGACAAACTGCAACCGAGGTACATACCCTTAGCGGGAACTGAACCCGGGAGTCTCCAATCTGCAGGCCGATGCTCTAACCCCTGAGCCAAACCAGCCAGGGCTTGCTGGCCACTGTTTGAGGGCTGACCCCGGCAGTGGGCAACAGCAACATGTGGTGCAAAGTAGGCTCCCACAGGAATAGAAAACCCACAGGCACTAAAACACAGTGCTGCGGATGGAAGTCCCGGATGTGCAATGACGTGAAAGGTCGAGGGATAGTGAGCAGGACCCTGACCGAATCTGCCACACCGTCACCGACACCTGCCGCATGGTGTTCCACGTCACCCTCTGCATTTCACCGCTGCAACTCAGGGCACCTCCTGTCCCCTCTGCCAAGCAGCTCTGCTGTGAACATCCGAGCGCATGGACTCAAGCAAGCATGTCCTTGGGTGTACACTTTGGAACGTTCCTGCCATCTTAGATGGCACGTCTCTGTGTACTGAGTGAGAAACCCCAGGTCCCACTCTGCATGGCGGCCCCCTCCACGTTCTCTCCCTTGGTGCTGGAAGGTCCCTACGGGCCCACGTGCTCAAACCTAGACTCTTAGTCTCAACCTCTTCCCACTTTTTCGATGGGAAAGTTGAGGCCCAGAGAGGCCATCAGACTGCCCCAGGGAGCCACCTGTAGGTGAAGGAGGGGGGTTCTATTAAAACAGCCATTCTGTCCACACCTCACATGCCAGGTAATTAACACCTCACACACACTCAATTGCTTAATGACTCCTGTCCGCAAGGCCAGAGGACAGGAGGAGCTTTAAGAGTTGGGGTACAACCGGCACCTTTGTTGTCTGGAGGAGAGCCCACTCTTGGTGTGTGTCTGCCGGGCCACACAACCACCCTGAAGGGCGGGGGCTATGTCCTTCTGTTTACAAGGAGGACACTGAGGCTCAGAGAGGTGTGGTGACTCGGCCCAAGGACACAGAGGGGTGGGCTGGGGACTCGTATCCAGGTCTGATGATTCGGCAGCAAACCCTTCATGAGAGACCCAAGGGGATGATCCGGATAGTTCCCACGCACCATCCACCTGCTGTGGGGCTGTGGGACAGGCGCTGTTCTGGGTGATTTCTTGCAGCAGCAAAGGGACTTGCCCAGGGTCCTACAGCTAAGATGTGGGGTACCAGTGCTGAACCCAGATCTGTCTGCTCCTCCTCGGTTTCATCAGCCTCTGGCCCCAGTCTTCCCACTGTCTCTCCCCAGCCCTTGGGTCTCTCCCCAGGTGGGCTGAGTATGTGTCCCTCTCGGCGCAGGGGAAGCTGCTGCCCCCATGAGGCCAAGAAGGCTCTTCTGGCCTGGTGATGCCGTCTCTCTCCTACCAAACAAGTTCACTTCTCCTGCAAGAAGACCACCCCGGCATGTCTCTGAAAGTTCCAGCTACACACCAATGTCTCAACTGTTTACATCTCAGTTAAATGGTTTCTCACTTTGGAGAGGTATACAGGCTTTGAGACCAGAGAGACTGAATTTATGGCCCTCGTATTTATTGTCTTGACCTTGGGCAAGTGATTTACCCTCAGGGCCTTAGTTCCCTCATTTGTAAAACAAATCTTGTACTAGTGCATGTCTCATGGGTTGTTGAGGGGATTAAGTGAGAAAATGTGCAGAAAGTGCTTTGTGAAGTGCCCCGCACATGGTAGGTCCTCAATAAATGACAATGACAGTAGTGGTGGTCATGGTGATGGTGGTGGTGGTGGTTGTGGTGGTCGTCGTGGTGGTCGTGGTGGTGGTGATGGTGGTGATGGTGGTGATGGTGATGGTGGTGGTGGTGGTGGTGGTGATGATGGTGATGATGGTGGTGGTGGTGGTGGTGGTGATGGTGGTGGTGATGGTGGTGGTGGTGGTGGTGATGGTGGAGGTGGTGGTGGTGGTGGTGGTGGTGGTGGTGATGATGGTGGTGGTGGTGGTGGTGGTGATGGTGGTGGTGGTGGTGGTGGTGATGGTGGTGGTGGTGGTGGTGGTGGTGGTGGTGATGGTGGTGATGGTGGTGGTGGTGGTGATGGTGGTGGTGGTGGTGATGGTGATGGTGGTGATGATGGTGGTGGTGGTGGTTGTGGTGGTGGTGGTGGTGGTGGTGGTGGTGGTGATGGTGGTGATGGTGGTGATGGTGGTGGTGATGGTGGTGATGGTGGTGATGGTGATGGTGGTGGTGGTGGTGAGGTAGTGATGATGGTGATGGTGGAGATGATAATGATGGTGGTGGTAATGATAATGGTGGTGATGATTGTTTGCAGTACTGTTATACACACCTATTATTTTGCTTCCTCATACCAGTTGGGATTACCAGATGAAAACCCAGTAGAGACTCATAGAGGTTATGTGAGTTGCCCAAGATCCCCAGTAAATCAGGGGAAAACAAGAATAGAAGCCAATACTCCTGCCCTCACCCAGATTTATAGAAAGAAACACCCCTTCCTCCCAGCTCTATCCCTACAACTCCTCTTCCCCAAGTTTCTGTCTCTGTGGCTGGCAAAGGGCAGGGAAGGAAGGGAGGGACCCCAGCGATGGATGGAGGACAGAATGAACCAAGAGGATAGGGAGAAGTGAGATTGTGGGGTGCAAACTGCTCCAAAGGGAACGTGAGACTCCACTTCACTAACCATCAAACCCCACGACTACCCCTCAGAGCCCCCTCAACGCCTCCCTGGAGGGATGGGCCTGACACCCCTCCCTACCCACACACACACACACACACACACACACACCAACAAATACAGAGATCTAACCTCACACTGCAAGGGCCTCTATAGTGTAACTGCTCTAGAATTTTCCAAACGAAGACTATGGATGCCATGGTGCCTCAGATGGTCCTTGGGGGAGATATTCGGGTGGTACCTGGACCCAGCCTGAAATGTCACTCAGTCATAAAGTGCTGGGATTATTTAGTTCTCAACTCCCTTTTAATCCCTCTTTACATCAAAGACTAAGTCTCTGTTGAAGCTGATGGGCCTCCGACACCTCTCAGGTGTGGTCATTCTCTCCCTTCCAAAAGGACGGGACGCTGAGCCCGCAACAGAGCCCAGCGAGAATCTGGGATGCCGCTGGACTTGCCTTGTATTGGTCGCGGTGCTTTGTTTTATTTTTTGGCATGATACTGTTGTCCATTTACAATTGAAAATTATTTTAATGAAAAAATGAGTTACTACAAGGTCTCACCTAGCTAATAATAGAGGAGGTAGGAAGGTCGCAGGCCCATCCTGTCACTGATGGGCAGAAGTGAGCCCAGAGCGTTGAGCCTACCCAAGGGCACCCAAGGTCAAAAGCAGCTGAGCTCCGGCCAAGCCAAGGGCACCTACACAGCCATTCCTGGGCCGGACCTTACAGCCTTGGTTCCACTCTGGGACGCTGAGCCTGGCTGGCACTTTAAACATGGCAGGAATCCCGGGCTCAGAGGCCAGCCAATCACCACCGTTTCCCAGCTGCATGCCTGGGGCAGGCTGCCCCATTCCTCTGGGCCTCAGTTTCTCCATCTGTGAAAGCAGATGAGAAATCCCAAGGGGAGGTGGCCTTGGATTCGATCCCTGAGCAGGGTGATGCTGCAGAAGCAGCTTTGACCTTGGGGATGTCACCTCACCTCTCTGGAAAATGGGGGTGGGGTTGTTGTGAAGGTCAAAGGGGATAGATACAATCACGTGTGTTGCCAGGGGAGGGAGAGAGAAGCCTGGGCAGGTAGGTAGGTCAGGGTTACGTTGCATAGGCTGTTTATTCCCAGGATTAGAATAACCTCATGGCTGCTATCCAGCAAATGAGCTGTGGCCCTTTGAATAAGGGAAGATGGATTTTTTTCCTTCCTCCACCAAAATCAGCCTCTCCTTGGTGCTTGGCAGGATCCCAAGGGGTGTAATTCCAGCCAGGAAGCCAGGGAGCCCAGCGCCGACCGGGGCCGGTGATTTTGCCTCTCTTTGGCTGCCC